AATTTTAAAAATACATGTAACAAAATTGATACATATCCATTTTTAAAAAAGTTCTAGTCTATGATTCTTATATTCTGTGCAATAAATAACAAGATTCATAATTTTAATTTAAATACAAATTCAGATATGAAAATAATTAAAGCAAATTAATAAATAAAATATTAAATGGTTATTATCTTGATTGCAAGCTTAATTGTAGATTATAACTTGAATTGTAGATTGTAATTTAAATTGTAGATTGTATGATATAATGTAGCATGGGTATTGCAAATGTAAATTAATTCATTTACTTGTGATTGATATTGGCATTCATTCTTTCTCTAGAGTGGCATTTGAAAGTATAAAAATAGCATTTAATTTACATTTTAAAAAGGCATTTTTGATAGAGAGTTGGATATACAACTTTATTTGCATTTTTTCTTGACCATTATCATGTATTTTTTGCGATTGGATTAGTCATGTTAGTTTTATAGCTTGTCAGCTGAAAAAAAAAAATTATTGGGCAAAGCATGCCACATAGAATGTTTCTCATACATTTACTGTTTCATGAAATTACCTGAAGGAGTAATACCTAAAAACAACTGAATTTCATGATTTTACTTGTAGAATAACTACAAGATACAGTTAAATTTCATGAATTTACTTGTAGAATAACTACAAGATACAGTTGAATTTCATGAATTTACTTGTAGAATAACTACAAGATACAGTTAAATTTCATGAATTTACTTGTAGAATAACTACAAGATACAGTTGAATTTCATGAATTTACTTGTAGAATAACTACAAGATACAGTTAAATTTCATGAATTTACTTGTAGAATAACTACAAGATACAGTTAAATTTCATGAATTTACTTGTAGAATAACTACAAGATACAGTTAAATTTCATGAATTTACTTGTAGACTAATAAGAAGATACAGTTAAATTTCATGAATTTACTTGCAGACTAATAACAAGATACGGTTGAATTTCATGAAAGACAAGTAGAATACTAGATTCATGTAGGCTGTATTTCTAGAAATTCTTTGTAAATTAGAGAAAATACCAGATACAAGTAATTTTCATGATATTTGTATGTAGAGTAATTTTCCAAAAGTATAGAAATTAAGTACAATTGGGAGTAATCACAAAATACCTTTAATACAATGGCATTTTATGTTATTCCAAAATTCATTGGAACATGAACATTTTTTCTGCATTTACATTGAGAGGGATGGAACAAATTTGATTTCATTTATGTTTTTTTTTATTTCATTTGTATTAACATTGTGTGAGTGCTAGTATTTGTATAAGTTAAAATTATGTTTTCAGATAGATTTTGTTACTTGTTAATCAAGAAGTAAGATTTGAATGACATATAGAAGCGAGGAGCACATATAACAAAACACAAGACAATATTATGGAATATAACAGACCTCTTTAATAAGGTTAAGCACATAAAGGATAGAAATAAGTCCCTTAAAGAGTAATTCTAATCTGTAATTTAATGCTAGGTAGACCAGCTGATAGTTCAAAGATTTAAACCACTTAAAGGTATACTTACTCTTAGAATGACCAAAAATTGAAATTTTTAAACTTGGTCAAAATGAGTCTTTGTTCATCAGTGGACTTATTGTGTTATCTAGAGATTTTATTCTTTAGTCATGGCAACTCTTCTTGCCCAAGTTTGAGACTATAATTTTATGCCTATTCAGGAAGTATTCCTTAAAAAAACATATCTATACATATCCAGGTCTGATTCTAAACATAATCAAGAGCTGTTTATAATGATTAGTTATAGAACAAGTTCATATTTACTTTTCCTACCACAAGATAGTCTAGATTTGTTTTCTGTGCTCAAATATGAGAGTATTAACAATTTACTCTGGGTGAACCAAAAACATTCATTGCTTTAGTAAGCTTTGATTAAATTTTCTGTTGTGGTAAGCCATGTAAGGTATTCATCTGATTTCTTACTAATATTTGTCAAGGATCTACATGTAGAAGGTTTCGTGATTTCGTGGATGGAATGCAATATTCCCCACACTTTAATCTTTGAGGTCATATTGCCATTATTAATTAATATCTAAGTCTAATTAAAAACATAATTAATTAACAGTATAATGTATGTGTGATAGATTATAGTTATATAGCATTTAGTTATATTGTGGTTTTCACTTAAATACATTGAAACAATGGTTGGAGCATTTATTCTAATTAAAGAGATTGTGAGGAGGTTTTCTGAAAAAAAAATTCCACTGAAACTAAGTCTTTATCACATAAGGCCCTTATCAATTAGTGATGACACCAAACACTTAATATTAATGGAATTGCAGAAACCACTGACATCTGATTGAAAATTGGAATGGTGCAGATTGATACTATCAGTGTCCCTGATAAACATAAAAAGTTTCAACACTAAATCAAAGTTCAACCAATTTCAGATTTTTCTATTAAAACTTCTGTTGCAGATCAATGTATTTAAGTGTTTACCAGTATGTATCATTGTAATTTTGTGTGATAATTATTATTTTTGTTGAAGAATAGATTATTTAGTTATATATGTGAGTTATAGAGTTTAATATTATTTTGCAAAGTGTGATTACCAGTATTCTTAGACAATAATGAGTGAAATTTCTTTTTATTATTATTCCCAGTTAATAGAATAAAAGCATATTATTCGAATTATCTTTGACTCTTGATGTATGGCTATTGTCCCATCTGAAATGCGTGCAATTTGCCAATGCTAGTTTGAAATGAGTACAGAAATATGCAAATAACTATACTGTGACTACTTTTATTGAAGTCTGCACATCAAACTAATTTCATATGTTGTACCATACAATTACTGGCTTTATTTAAAGGTATTCTTTGAATTGATTGCCAAAATGAGTGTTTGTTCATCAGTAGTCTAACAGTGTACCTTTTACCTCTATAATCCAATAAATCCATAAAACGAAGAAATATTGGCACCTGGAAGGTCCTACTGATGAATATACACTGATTGATATCCATTCGAAGAGGTATTGCTTTAAGCAATGTTTTAACAAGGATTCTCCTTGTGGTCTTGAAATATCGTATCTGTGAGACATAGGTGACTAGCCTGAATAAAGATGGAGATCTTTTTGATTTTTTTATCTCTAAACCCAAGCCATCCATTAACCCCCAAGAGAACAGTTATTTCAGTAAAAGACAGTTACAAATAACAAGTTTTACTTAAACTCTCAACAAATACATATATAAACAAAGGTTTGACTTATTAAGTTTTAGACTTCAATTTATTTTTGAAATATTGTAAGATTTGATTGGCTGGATCTCTGTTAGTCTTATCTAAATCAATCACTTCCAATTCTATGAAATCATCTTTTTTCCGTAAAACTAGCCTGCACTTCAGGATATAGTTCTTTTTTACCTCACTACTTGAAGATTCTTCCTTTTTTGTGGTGATTGCCTTGGTTTCTTCTGATTCTTTAGAAACAGCAGACTTGTCAGTCACATTTTTGTCTCCATTTTCCACAACTGTTTCTGCAGACAAATTGCTTAGACTCTGAGACAATTCAGCCTTATTGTTGTTATTATTGTTTTTATTTTGATCTTGATCGAATTTTATTTTCTTACTCTCAGGTTCAATTTCTGGTGATTTTTCAAAAGAAACATCATCAGATTCCACAGACTTTTCTAAGCTTTCCAATAACTTTTCTGAGATATCAATTGATTTCTCTGGGCTATCTTCACTATTTTTCTCTACAGCCTTTGGTGGTGAAGAATTTTGTTCTAATTTTTCTTGTCTTCTCTTGCGTCTTTGATGTGACCAGGTGTTTTCTTTAGCTGTCATTGTTATAGTGGAACCTTTATCACTCCTCTTTCCTTCCTTATAATTCACCTTTAAATAAAATAATAAATGATAAAGAAACAACTATATTTTACAAGGATAACAACTTAGGTTCACAGTTAAGGATCCTTTCTACCGGCTGGTCCTTGGCCAAACCTCTTGGCGTTGATCTTTACTGATTTACAGTTGGGTTGACTGGAATTATGAGTGATACTGACTTTGTTCAATGTAAAGCAGGTATTTTTATTTTCATGAATATACCATTACCTTTAACAGTTGTAATTGAGTGACTATGTAAGCTGTAATATTTTGTATATCATATAATACAACTCCATTATCAAATGGTATTTCATAAACTAATGGTGCTATAATTTTCTTCTTTTTTTTCTCAAAATATGATTTCTGAAATAAGTCATTCAGTAAAATTAATTCATACATCAGATTTCATTACTTCATTCAATTTATACCCAAAATTAAGCACAAGTTTGGTGCCGTACCGTTTAATAAAATTTATATGAAAGGGTACAATACTGATAATCCTTAAGCAACATTTACAGGTAGAGAGCACATTAAATAACCGAACACAATTTATGGTATACTACTCCTTAGTTGTATTTTTTGTGTGCAATAAAAATAAGGAGCAGTATATCATAAAATTGTGTTCCGTTATTTGATATACCATATTGATGTTAAATAAATGCATAAGAAATTGATTTAAGATCGCCAAATATTCTCCCTTGTACAGCAGCATTAGCCGAGTATTTTATTATCCCATCAAAAATTAGCTTTATATATTACAATTTTCTTATCTAAGTTGTATACTTTCTTACCAGAACAATCATATCAAGAATTCTATTTTGACAAGATACAGAAATATTTATAACTGTGAACTTACTGGAAATTGAACAGTTTCGTCAAAACTCCAAGCTACTCCCCATCTCATAGTTTTACCTTGACAAAACTCAGTTGTAGAACGATTCTTTATCTGAATATATAATGTAAAATAAAGAATTTAGTATCTATTGTTCTATATCTTAATAGAATAAAAAAGATAACAATGCCATATGGTGTGTGAACTAAGAGATTTTTCCTTGTCTAATTGTCTATGGATCTTTAATACACTGAGCTTTTGACATTTGGTTTATTCTAAAGCACTTAAGAATGAAAAAGAGATGAAAATTTGGCAAATTAATTAGAAGCATATAAGTTCCTTGCTAACTAACAGTGGGATAGTGAAACCCAAAGTGGAGAAATGTGACAGCCTATTTGTGTTTTGCTATCCCAAAATTTGTCATTTTTATCAGGCTATGATTGGTTAAAAATTAGGTCATCACAATGTGACTGCAGTATAAACTTGTTAGAAGACAATGGAGACGAAAAGTATCAGAAAAAAAGATACGTTCCAGTAATCTGTTCCAGCCTGAAACCACACCCAAAAACCCCCAAAATGTGCCTGGGTGCTCTAACTGTGCTTGGAATGTGTGCCAATTTTAAGAATGGCACAAGACCTAAATCTCAAGAGCTAGTCACAATCTTGTAGCATATTTAGCTTTTGCAGAGAATCAAAAGATACAAATTACTAGGTATTTCAGAGATAAAAAAGTCAAGGCCAATTCTACCTCCATGGTGTGTGTTTAAACTAAAGAGTATCTAATAGTAAAAAGTCACATTATTTAAAAGAGAAACTCTATTCAACTAAAAACAAACACTGACTGTGTGTATTGTTCATTTACTTTATTTAAGTTTTCTACTAAGTTGTTGTTAGTAGATAAATCCCAGCCAAATACTCTCACATACCTGTTGTCTTTTAAGTTCGTCCTTGATCACTGCTACATTGAGTTTCTTCCCCACCATTGATGAAAATACTCTAAAACAAGACAACATAGTAAATGTAAGTAGAATACTGATAACTCAAATTTGATAATGCAATATACGCCCACTGGCAACTTTAATTCGAAATATTTGGCAGTACAATAACAATCACAATATATCATATGTGCACTTCATTTGAATAAGTGTCTAGTGTTTACAAGATAATTATTGAACATGTTTTACACAAACAAGGGCAATAACTCAAATTAGATATTTTACTTATTTTTTTTCATCCTTGGGTGATACATTTACACCAAGTTTCCTCAAAAATTGTATTATGTTGATCGATAGTCAATTATTGATTTATTTAGAAATGCTAAGAGTGACTACACTGAGATTATTTAGTTCTGCCAAGGTTTAAATTCTGATCAAAAGTTTTTCTCTAACCTATACAAGATCCTAGTCAAAGCAGACATTTGAGCTGGTTTGTCAGTCATGTCCGGCAAATACAGCCAAATCAACAGCCATATACTTAATGTTTAACAGACAATAATAGTCAAACAGATATTTTAGGCAATTGACAATTTTGTACCAGGTTATTCTAAAATTAAGACCAGTCTCCTAAATACTTCATCTCTGTCTTTTATGTAAACAATGTTTAAAGTCAACAGTAAAACTCCTAATTTATCTACATTAACAAACAAAATATTTAACTTTGTTTAAACATAAACTGTATGAGCAACATATTATCTAAAACAGCCTAAATCAGCCCCTTTAATTGTTGCAAGTGGATATTGATGTAAAGAATAGTAAGTAATCCTCATATTCTACATCTTATAGGGATTGAAAAGAGGCTTTCTACAAAATTTTATGTGAATAAGGGACACTAGTTGTTGTGCACCATCAAATCATCATTTTAAAGAGGTTTTCTAAATTGTGTATGCATAACAGAGACACTGAGAGAATCAATTTGCACCATTCCAATTATCAAACAGACGTATGTGGTTCCTGCAATTCCACTAAAACTAAGTGTTTTAAGATGTCACCTCCACGAAATTTGTCACATAAGACCTTTGCGGTCTTTTTAGAAAATTTAGAAAACCTCTTTAATGGAACTAAATTATGTCCAAATATCCTAGAGGTAATTATTTTTTTTTTTCATTAAAAATTTCTGTTACCAAGTATGCGTAAAACAGTAATAAAATGTACACCGTAAAATACCAAGAAATAACTCAAAACAATCCTTACTTGATTTTATCCTTTAATTTAAAAGAGTCAATGATCATTTGCTTTATAAAGGCTGCCTCTCCTCCATGAATAATACTCTCACAATCTTCTGCTGTATTTAAAGATGGTGGGTCAGGTCTGTCTATCTTTCGTGAGGTGCTGACAGCCTGGGCTTCCATATGATCAGCAAAAAATGGAGGGTTACACATGATAAAATCAAACTTTTTACCAGAATCTTTAATAATAGTTTCTGGTAATCCACTATTCTCTTCTACTTTAATTACTGAAAGTATTGATACAGAACTATAACAGACATACAGATAAACCCACAGAATGAAAATTGGAATGGTGCAAATTGATGCTATCAGTGTCCCCGATACACATAATTTTTTTTTAGAAAACCTCTTTACAATGCCTTTAAAGGACCCTCCAGGACTCCTTGTTGCAATACCACATAAAGATATTGCTAAGATATAGCTTATATAGACAGTTTGATTGGAAGCTGTAGTAAAAATATGTAGAGATTTGTTAGTACCTTTAATTTTCTCTTCCATGTTATTTCTTGCAACATTTTGACAAGCATATTCATAGTTTTTTTCATCTATTTCTGTGGCAAGGAATGACCAGTTATTTAATTTACAGCCTAATATGGCATAAATACATGACGATCCAGTTCCTGAAATACATTGTAACTAAAGTAAAGGGAAAATTTCTCAAATGCTTCAGGTCAACTATGATCACTTCATTACATATAATTAATCCTCACAATTATACCCTCTGCTTCCAATTATATTGAATCTCAGCAATTTCATGAGCTCTTAAAAGGATTGTTAAGATGTTTTCTAAATTTTTTATGTGTACCAGGGACACTGATATCATCAATTTGCATCATTCCGATTATCAATCAGACGTCTGAGGTTCCAGCAATTCCACTGAAATGCTATCAGTGTCTCTGGTACACATAGAAATTCTACAAAACCTCTTTAATCTGATGCCAGTATAATTCCTTACTATAAGAATCGTTAAATACAGTCCTGCATTAAAATGTATTTTAGAAGTAAATGTAAAAATCTAAGGGTGAATTTTCCATTATGAGCAAAATGAAGAGGAAAAAGACAGATTTCTTAAAATATAAGTGTTTTTGAAAATAATGAAATTAATGTCATGACATAATAAAGACTTGAATTTGGGAAATATTGAAATTATTGAAACTATTTTATTCTTTCTCAACCACACGAAAAAAAAACCAGATTTGACATTAAGCTTATGGATTACCCTGCACCAAAAAAAAAAAATTCAACTCACCAATATCAATTCCATTTAAACCTTCATACTGATCACTAAACATATCTTCTATCCAATGTATATAGTTTAATCTAGAAGACAGAGTTGGTACTAGTCTATCAGTGGGTATTTCAATATCTAGATTAAAATCTTCTTTTAATAATGTTTGAGTTAATATTCTGACACTCTCTGGATTTTTAAAATCTAGTGTCACTTTCCCATTAAAATCTTGACTAGATAATTCTTTGAATTCAGGGTATTTCAAAGCCAGTGATGCAAAATCTGGTTTCTTATTTCTGTACAAGTTTCTTGGATGCATGAATTTATTCAGCGCCATATTTATTGGTTTGTATCAGAACAAGGTTAGTGAAGGAATTTAGTCTGAAATAAAGTAAATACATAATTTTATCATACAATAATCAAATATTTTCACTGTTAAAATAGTGCTCAATACATCCATGTAGAGCGATATAGAAATATCAAAACAAAACTTGAATCATGTTGTTACTCAAAGTTTCACGCTATGCGATCTTCAGACAATATGATAGCTTGCCAGACAAGGTTACATAAAGCTTTGCTTTGCACGTCTGAGGATAGCAGCTCTCATCAGCATAGAATTTAGCAGTTTTAAATTTTTGTGAGGCTCATCCTTTGCTAATAAGTAGTACTTTCCCTGAAATTTGTCATCCTTTGTTGCCAATGAATGTGCTTTCTACAGTGTTGATGAGAAATTTAAAAGTTTTGTAATTTTGTAAATGTCCTCCTTGCGATTGCCTTCTTTTACAATTTTCACCCTCATGATTTCATCCCAGTGGTTTCCTCCCCATATAAATTATGTAAAAAAAGAATACTGTGGGATTAGAGGTATCATCAAGAATCAATATATGCCCATTTGATATGACATGCAGTTTTTCTAAAAAAAATTTCACTGCCCATTGGTAAACAGATGTGCCGTTATGTTAAACATAAAAAAAGCAACTTCACATGTTCACCCACTATAGGATAGTATTACAATTACAGTATAAAAATTTGCCTGCTTGACAGGGGTGCGTATTATTCGCCATGACATCGACAGAGATTTTTCCAGATTTATACACAGGTGGGAAAGGGCTAGAGAAGTAGAAGGTCTGACTGTACAGCTTAAATATGTAAAGACGCGACCTGCTATTGACTTGTATTTCGATCTGTAAATTGTGTCATAGGTGGCTGCTTTGTAAACAATTTGACATATAGACGAGTTGACTATTGATGAAGATCTAATAATGAACGAACAACGTGAGATAATATTTGGTAAACAGGGGAGATAATCAGAAAAACCCAGACTCCTCTCTGCTACATATGTTTAGGAAGAAGAATATCTTTTCACTAAACGCCTTAATCTCAATCTAGTATCTTGGAGGAGCCCAATACATTTCCTGCAACTAGTGTCAACTCATTAGGAAGAAAACGTACGGATTGAGAATGATTCACTTTGAAATTACCATCATGGGCGCAGACATCTTGAATTGTAAATCTCGAAATGTCACGTATATTAACGCCAAAATGAAATCATTTCCGAATTGCGCTGGCAAGGTGCGCGAAAGGTTATCTGTCTGTCTGGTGCTCTACAACTTTATTCGTTGTCCAGGGGACAAATTTCGAAATATTAATCCCCTCTTATAAAATATGGATTTCTAAAGAGCTACAGGTACTATCTGGTAGATTTTCTCCACATTTTCAACAATTGTTCTTCTCGCTTCCATCCCAAATTCTTCAAATTCCGCCACAACTTTGAATGACAAATGGCGACAGGTTGGAAATTCTTGTAAATTATCATAATGATGATGAAAATATATTGTGTTTGTGCTCCAGAGATTTTGACTCTTTTTGTAGCAAACACAATTTAAAATTAAAATGTTCCATAGATGCACTTGTGTTTGAGTTTAAAATCAATTTCCTGTATCCAGACAATATTGCATTTTAGGCTCTGCAGATAGGATTAGGAAAATGAAATAAAAATATCAAATATGTTAAGCATTTTTGGAGCAGAGTTATAGGCTAGTTCAAAAGTAGAACATCTTCTCTGTCAGTCAGATTACCAACAGAAGCAATCCAAATTATTTCATGACTTGAAAAAGCCACCAAGAGACTTACCCAGATAGGTTTGCTTAGTGCTAGTGATAGTGTTCAGTGCATTTGACAAATAAATTGAATATTTAAAATTGTTTTGAGCAAATTATAGCTGCATATACTCATTCTCATATTTTTTTAATGCCACACTTAAAAGGATGAAACATTGGTTTCCTTGATACTGATAGATGATATTACATAGAAGCTGACTCATCAAGAAAGCTAATATGGAATTAATATAGTTATATTGTAGGGCTCTTTACTAGAACACAATGAATATTCATATTGAAATATTCTTAGTTATATTGTCTTCATATTCAAATATGTATAAATATGCGATTATTTGGTATGCTGAATTATTACTGTAATTATTTTATGACCTATTGTTCGGACATCATCTGCCCAATCTTGAACTAAAAGTAACGGTACCTGATTACATTTCAAAGTAATTGACCCTTGGTACTGTTACTGTACAGTAGTTAAATTGGTAATCAACTTCAAATATGTTCTTGAATATGTCCAAGTTTAAATAGCTTTTAATTAAAATTCGCATAATTCTCAAACTAGGAATTTATTTTTCTATTTATATAGATGTTCTTTTCTATGGCAGAGTCTCAAAAAAAGACGACTTCTTCTTTTAACTTTCAAACGCGGATAGACACATGGATTTGAATGTTCAAATATCGACAGTAAACTGTGAACACTATTACTGATTAGCTAAAAAATTCCTGTTTGTTTCTGAGACTAAATTATGATTGGTCAAACAAATGGTGCATCTGTGCCTTTAATAGCTCTGAATAGAATTTTGAAGGAAAATTACAGCCCTTTGAATAATGAAAATATTATCATAGGGCAAATAAATATTGGCCAGAGCCCAAAGGTGAAATTACCTAGTTTTCATAACTTGTTTGAGTAGTTTCTTTTCTTAAAAGGAAGTAAAGTATATGTATGATTTGTCACACTTAGAGACATAGTTGAATACAGGCTCATTTGTTAAATAGAGCTGATATTTTATATTATTAAAATGATAGTTGTATTGATTTTTTCATTTTTTTCTTAAATTTAGATAAAAAGTAAAGGGGATAAGTGGATTTTATAAAGCCGAGCAAAGTTTTATTTTAAAGTTTTTAAAAGACCTTTTCACAAATAACCATCAAAATGGTTCTTTCCCAAAGACAGAGAGATGAATTGTAAGTAGTTTTAGATTAACATAATCCTTTAAATCTATTGTCAAATTCTCAAGTATGGTAATTGGTAATTATAAATTAATACTATGAAAGCAATATTAATGGGAATATATTATGTACTACATTAACATTGATTTGATCCAATCCAGACACTTAATCTGCAGACTGACTATTATTTGCTACTATGTCAATGTGTACCTTTTGCATGTGTTACTACTAGATAGAATTTCTGGTATCTTATTATGACAAACGACAATTTGCACACTTGTTGACATTTTCTTTGTTGTTTTTCAGGAATAAAGCCATTGCTGACTATCTTAGTTCGAATGGATATGTCAGTGCTTTAGGAGAATTCCAAAAAGAGGCCAATATAGTAAGATAGTTTAAATTTACATCCCACTCAAGATCTTCATTCTGATAAATATTAGGTTTAAATTAATATATTCTCTCTCTTTTCTGGGAATAGAATATCTACATTCATTAAAGCTTGTATACAGAAAGTTTTAAAATGAATCTGATCTAGATTTTGCAGGCTTGTTTTACTAGTTATTGTTATGAGTAATAGTTTATGAATAATACATAAAATATAGTTGGTGATAGTTGTATAATTTTATTTCAGACAAATGAGATTGATAAGAAACATGCTGGCCTCTTAGAGAAAAAATGGACATCTGTTATCAGATTGCAGAAAAAGGTAAAAAAAAACTTGGTATATTTCAGTTATTATGGAAATCGACTCACATTTTGCAATAATAAGTACACCACTGATTCTACATTGGCAAAGTTAAAGATCGGTTCCCTAATTTTCATTAATGAAAATTAAAATGCTAATACTTGTATGAATAGAAAGTAATAACAGTTTGTCCATAGTTAATTCAAAATTGGCTAAGTTAAAAGAGAATTACCTGCAGAATTCCAATGAGTGACCGATCAAGAAAGATCAAAAAGGTTTTTTTTTGTTTATCCAGACTGTACATACATGGACATTTATGATTGGTTAGAACTCTTAATTATATGCAATAAGAACATAATGATATGATTAATACATGATAATTCATTAGAAACACCAATAAATAATAATAGTTTGCTTAATTTGATACTTAAGAATAAGGAAACCCATCTTTAAAATAATATATTTAATTTAACAAGGATCTTATGTCTTTTATTCAAGGTTATGGATTTAGAATCCAAGCTAACAGAAGCTGAGAAAGAGTTTAGTATTGGAGCTCCAACAAGAGATAAGCGCAGTCCAGCTGAATGGATTCCTAGAGCTCCAGAACGGTATGCTCTCAGCGGTCATCGTAGTCCAGTGACTAAAGTTTTATTTCACCCTGTTTTTAGTGTAGTTATTTCGGCTAGTGAAGATGCCACTATAAAGGTAATTTAAATTGTTATTATTTGAATCGTCCATGGCCTTTTTTTTTAGTTTAGTCGTAAATGACCATATCGTAACAAGTTGTAATTTCATTTCATTATTCAAAATTTCAATTTCATTAATAAAAAACCACAAGTCAATGTGTGATGAATTTCATTAAGGAATGTAAAAAAAATGATAGAATTTAGTTTGTTTCAACAGAATATCACATTTAAGAAAGCTGATTGTCTAATTATTAATATGCTATTTGGTTAAGACCAGTATCAAATGTGTTAAAGCATTAATGATATTATATTTAAGATATGGGATTATGAAACCGGTGATTATGAGAGGTCATTAAAAGGCCATACAGATTCTATACAAGATATAGCTTTTGATCATACCGGTAAACTGTTAGGTAAGTTAATGACTGACAAATTTTTTTTTTTTTTTTTAAATGATATCCATACAATGATATTCTATATAATTTTTACTCTCGATTTTGCAATTCTTTGGAAGAGTTTTTGATTAACGGTATTGTATTGTTCATACAGATTTGTATTCCTTGTTTATTTTCCAATTTTTCGCCTGGAATGCAAGATGCATAGAGACACATATAATGCCATTGGCACTAATCCAGACACATAATGGCTATTGTAGCTTATAGTTAATGAAGTAAAAATATATTTTTTTTCGCTCTAGTTTCTTGCTCGGCTGATATGATGATTAAGTTATGGGATTTTCAAGGATTTGAATGTCTGAAGACAATGTTTGGTAAGAATTTTATTCATGTCTTTTTATGCTATTTCTAAAAAAAACTTTAAGCTTTTCAGTAGGTGAAGTGTTGTTTATTGCAAAAATTTCAATGCTCTTCCAGTGTAAATATATCATTGATGTGCAAAAAAAACCCCAAAAACATAAAAATTGATTTAATTTCTTGCAGGACATGATCATAATGTTTCGAGTGTTACATTCATGCCAAGTGGTGATTTTATAGTCTCTGCTTCTAGAGATAAAACTATTAAAATGTGGGAAGTTGCAACTGGGTAAGTATTTCAATAAGTTTTCAATTATATCTTTGGCATGGGTAGTTAGAAATATTTTTTCATTTCGTTTTCAATAATAGAATCTTAAGTATTGAATATAAAAATCGTTCATCACAATTTGTTTCGAGTCACAATCGAACTGTAATATTTTCTAGAGTCGAGACTTGTGTGATGTAATATTTGACCTAGTTATATCTCGGGTCCGACACTCACTATTTGGAGGGTCAAACATGAGTTAACATGGTAGCATCGAATGTCTAAATATGGTCAAAAGTCGCACCATATTGCCGTAACTAGCTCAAATTCGATTGCGACCCTCACTCGACATGCACACTGAAGATAACTACGTTATTTCTCCATCAACTGTAGTTTGACCATAGAGGTTTTGATATTCACCTGTTTATAATAATGAATTTTATGTTTTGGTCCTTCATTTTGTAACAGGCCCTTGAGATTGAGAAATTAACAGCAAGGAACATGACAGATCTGTAACAAAACTAGTAGTGTTTTTATTATTTTAAAACTATCAGCTAAAACATTACATTTTTATGTATATATTTAGATACTGTGTTAAGACATTTACTGGACATCGTGAATGGGTCAGAATGGTAAGAGTTAATAAAGATGGTTCGCTGCTGGCCAGCTGTTCTAATGATCAGGTAAAACTGTTTTAAAAATATTAATCAACATTTCAGATACAATAATTGGCTTAATTAACCATTATCAATAGGTCCAAGTAGTAGAAAAATCTTTAATGAAAATGTTGAGCTTTATTGCATGAAACATAATCAGAAGATTTTTTTATGAAATAATAAGAAAATTTTGTTTTAACCACCATTTGAAATTTTATTTTAGACTGTTCGTGTATGGGTTGTTGCTACTAAGGAATGTAAAGCTGAATTAAGAGAACATGAACATACTGTAGAATGTTTAGCCTGGGCCCCAGAATCAGCTTACCCTTCAATAGGGGAAGCATCAGGCTCAGATGTAAGTAGGATTATCATAATTTATAATATACTTCACAAAGAAATATCAAAATAAGTACTACATATATTTCAAACAAATGGAATGGGCTGTGTATTATATTCAAGAGGTTTTCAAAAGTTGTATGTATATAGGGGTCACTGATAGCATCCATTTGCACCTTTCCAATTTTCAATCACATATCTGTGATTCTTGCAATTGCATTTAAATTATGGTTTTATTATCACTTTTGCAAAGGTCCTTATATATCAATAGCAGGTTTTGCTATAGTGATGTCTTTTATTTGAATTGCAAGAGCCGAAATTGAAATGGTGCAATTAAATGATATCAGTGTTCACCTCTTTACAATTATGAGAGCACAAGTTATTATTAAAAAGGTTTTAATTGTTTGACCAAATGTATTTTTGATTGCTTGCCTATATTGTTTATAAAGAATTTTCTGTGTTGATATATTGTATGGAAGACTCTAGATAAATGTGTTTGTTTATGATAATAAGACAACTGTATACATTTCTCTTCAGTCCAAGAAATCACCAGGACCATTCATTGTATCAGGATCTAGAGATAAAACTATGAAAATGTGGGATGTTGGAAGTGGAATTTGTCTATTTACTTTGGTAAGTGTTTTCTTCAATTTGAATTCTTTGAACACTGAGTGTAAATAAAATATATCAAGTACCATGCATTTCCAGTTATAACTTTTTACATTAATGTTATGTGATGTCACTATTGAAAGCCACTAAGGTATATGAAATATTCAATGATAACTAGTGTTGAAAGAGCAAAATAAATTCAGTTTTCAAAAGCATCTAAAAAAAATTGTGCAAATCGTTTATATTTTAAAAAAAATGTAACCCTAAAACATTTCTTGAAACTAATGCTGCAATCTGAGGGTAAAGAAGATACTTCTTAATGTTTCATTTAGTTTATGGTTTTCAACCCTGAATCTAATTCTTCCAGGTTGGACATGATAATTGGGTTCGAGGAGTAGTCTTTCATCCAGGAGGACTGTATTTACTCAGTGCTTCAGATGATAAAACATTACGAGTATGGGATATCAAAAATAAGAGAAACCACAAAACTCTAGAAGCACATTCACACTTTACTACGTCAGTAGGTCAGTATCAAGCTAAATTATAGTTTTATTTGCATCCACTTAAAAATGTGATTGTATATTGCAGTCGGTCAGTCCACATTTCTTGTAGCCATGATAGAGACTACAGTTTTGATCCAAACTTAGTGGAACTTTGTATACATGTATATATTGATATCTCCAGATCAAATTCGACAAATTTTTGATAAATGTTTTGTTAGTTATTGCCCTTGACTTCGTAAAATTCTTATGCTTTGAACTATTAACATATATCAATGTCTCCTATGATGACTAGTTGAACTTAATGAGTTCCATAAAAAATTGAACTGAGAAGCATTGCATATAATTCTATAGAGCAGTTCACTTCATTGAATTATTTTTTCAGATATGCATAAGAGTTCCCCATATGTGGTAACTGGTAGTGTGGATCAAAGTGTCAAGATTTGGGAATGTAGATAAATACAGTAGAAGCTAGGCATTGTTAATGTTGAAAAACACTGGTATTTTACAAAACAGTTGATATGTTAGCAAAAAAATCTTAGAAAATCCTTATTAGACTTAAATAGTCTTTAATATATATAGTGCTTTTAAATTTCTTAACACTTCTCACCGTTTGAAGTTATTTTTTGCCATCTTTAATTTTATGAAAAAATGTCACTTGATCTAATTTGCAATATTACCAACTGTTTTGAACCAGGTCGACTTGAAAAACACCTTCAGTCAATGATTTTTCAATGTAAGACAAAGGGAAGTAACCACCATCTCGCTTCAGTAATCGCTCATGCACCAGTTTGTTATAAATGTGGGCTTACAGTATCCCGATTATGAAGCTAGCTCTCAATGTATAATTTATTGATATTATTAATAATGAATTATTCAATCTATGTGCTATTTATTAATTGTGATATTTTTTTCTCTCCTTATATATTGATTTCATTGAATTCATATGACCAGGGTAGAGTGACACATGCCGAAAAGTTACTTTGATAGAGGACTGCTGCTTTGCGACAAAATTTACTAAGAAAATTCGTGGACAGTAATAAGAGAATTCATACAACATTGTATTGCAATATACTTAGATCAAATTTTAATACCATTTTGTAACTACATGGCTTCTAAACAAAGAGACTGTTTTGATTGAGGTCACATTTTTTTCATTATTTATCATTTACTTTGTTTAAAAAATCAAGCCTGTTAAATTGGTCCAATGCCTTCTTTAGCTGTGCTGGATAAGTCGAAAACAAAGCACTGTCTTCATTAATGAATATAGGCATTTGAATATAATGATTATCAACATAAAATAGCCCAAATGGTAGTGAAGCTTACCACAATATTGGGAAAGGGAAGATGCAAACAAAATGGCATTTAACATCTTATATTCTGTTTTATATACTCTTAACACAAATAATTATCTTCAAAATAATTGCCATCTTTCGTGAATATTGAATATAATAAATCATTTGTGTTTAACTCTATTTAGAAGAGAGCACATTTCTATTTGACTTTTGAGGTTATTTCGTCTCTCTATGACATGACCTGATGATGTTTGGTTTGGCGATCAAGTTCAACAAGAACCTTACCTAATTCTAATTATTGAACTCTTCTTGTCGATCTGTAACATGCTTGTGTGGAAGTGTTCACTAAAATGTGGAGGGGTGTCAAGTTATGTCTAGCCCAACCTCCCAACCATTAGTCATGCCTGTTGTAAAGGGATTTTAATTTCGTAATTTGTTAATTAGGTCAAGATATCTTTAATTTTCGATTCTCTTCTGCAGACTCAAAATTCTTTGGAATTTTCTGATAATTGAGCTATCATGCCACATTAAAGTCCAACATTGTAGAGTTTAAGATTGAGATTTTTTTTAATATTAAAGAACACTGCTATTATTATCAACCAAATATTTGATGTGCTTGATAGTTACTTATTATTATTATTGTTATTGTATATATTTGTATAGTTCATTGATACTTGTCTTCGCTTTGTGTAATTTATTGTTTTCAATGTAGTGCTCAGTGAGCTCAGTTTCTTATAAATTGTCAATTTGACATCCTTAAAGCAGACTGGAAATATTTGGTTAAGAAAGTAATAGCAGGAATGGTGACTCAAATCTTTCTCCCAGTGTTCAACATTTTGAAGGTTTTGGTTGATACTGTTAAAAGTTTATTTTGGTTTCTAAAAGGAATATTCTTTCTTTTATGAACATTAAGAAAAAAATGTTCAAAATCAATCTGATTAAAAAAAAACTTAATTTGTAATTGTTCATTTCAACTATGATATATATATATAGATTTCAACATTTACAAGGTGAGAATTGGTGCACATTGTCACTTCAAGATAGCTCATACAAAAATAGATACTTCTGAAAGATTAATTTTCAAATAGATTGTTTATAAGAAACTGCGCTTAAATTTAGTAAAAATAAGAACAAAATTCTGATTTAAAAAACTGAAAAAAAAAAAAAATTGACATGTGCTTGAGTGCAGTAGAATCATTTAATTATTCAACAATACCACTGTTGCTCTTTATTATAGCTTTTGTGCAATTTTGCCCTTTCGGATTGAATATTTGCATTTTTCCATTGTTGCTTATTAGTTTTATTGGAGATCAAGTTGTTAGTTTGATGTCATACTTTGGTTAGTGGCATATGAGAAAAATGAAAGATCCTTTTATGATTTAAGGTAATCTAAACGATCGCATTTCAATGCTTGACAGAAAACAGGTGAAAATACTTTTAATGTAGTACTTGTATTTAAGCTTTTGATTATGACTACAAGACGTGATGCATCTGTCCAAAGTGAGTCATTTTACCCCTTTCTTTAGGTTTGTGCAATGTACTATTACTGGTATTGAGTGTTGCAATGTGTTATCTGAGCTGATTCAATGTTGCTTCCATCTGGAGAAGAAATCAGGCTGGCGTTGATTTCTTAAGACTTCTATCACATTTGTATAATTCTTGTCAACTGAACTCAAGATGTATAGGGTATTAGTTTCAGAGTGTTCTTAAAACTTACGAAATAAAACACAAACCCGGTTTCTAAGGCGTGAATTTTTTTTCTTTAACTTACATGAATATTCTTTCAAGTTAAAATTTTTTAGATAAATGCAGGTGATCTGGTAAATTGTGTTTGAACTGTTAGCACAAATACATATACCTAGAAAACACATTATTTGCATTGTTCTTGTGATATAGATGTTAAATAGTTCTTATTACTGGTCTCAAGCATAATCTCATTATATTTAAATTATGGCATATTTCTTATTATTACAAAATATTTATTATTTCACTTCAAGTAGAGTAGTTTCTAGATGACGTAGATAAACCCTGTATAAAACTTTGATTAATTCAGATATATTTTTCAATCAAAACTATGATAGAAACTAGAGAGTCCACAATGTTATTGGCCAAAGGAAAAGTAACATCTGTAACTGAAATTTTGGATGCATTACACAAAGACTTAATTTACACAGAGTTGGACCTACTTCGAACTAATATAACATAAATTACAGGGTTTATCAGGATAGAATTAGTCCTTTATCAATGGTGTATGGAGATAGGTTTAGCAATTTATGTAGTGTACAGACATTTTCTTTTGTAATTATTTTTAACAAAGCACATTTGTAGAAAAAAGTTGATCTTAAAAACGTTTTCTTTACTTCTTACTTTTAATTCTTTCACTTCTGAAATTTGAAATGCAAAAAATTTAACGTTATTTGCATTCCAAATAATAAAATTTTGGGACTTTTTTTTTTCTTTGTAAATCTTAGTTTCATTTATTTTCTTAAAATTGACTCTAAATGATGTCTCGTGGCTAATATTTTTAAGGATTAAAAATTTGACAAAAATACTTTATAAAGATATAAAATAATTAACAAAATTTATAGCTTGATGTTTTGGCATAGATTGTTTTGGACATTCTACTCAAATTTTCTTGGTATGTCTATTAAAGATTGAAGACTGATGGAAGTAGTTAGGAAAATAAGTGGAATTGATTTCATATTAAATGTCTTAAAAGCAGGAATATATTAAAAGATTAATGAAATTAAATTTGGCATTATGGAAGTATTACCAAAAAATTGATTAGTAACATTCCATTTTGAGTTTTTCTTAACACACCAGTGAAGATTTCCTAATCAAATATTTTCAAATTACAAGTTAGAAAACTGAACTATTACTGATAAATTGTCTTTGTCTATATGATATAAAATAATGTGGTTATTGTTAGATTGTCTATCATGTTTATTATTATAATGCTATTTGTCCAACACCACAGTAAGTTCTATGTCAATAAATTATAGAAAAAAAATTTGATCTTTTCTTACCCAGTTCTTGATTAAAAGGGTAGACTGCTCCAATTTCATTATTTGGAAATGAAATGTAATGAATGGGGATATTATGTTCTATTTTTATGCACAGGACTGGTTAATGAAGACAGGCAATGCCATGTTGTGTTCAATGAGGGAAATTGGGCCAGGACCATGGCATTTGCCTTCTTTTACTTAACCAATCATCTATCAACTTTCCATAGAACTAATTATAGAAGATTCTTAAACTAATTTGAGCATGTGATTCCTGAAAACTATTGTATAAATATTATATTTATATATTGCATACAGTATATATTTACATGTACAATGATCATTGTAAATGTTCATGAAAAAGTCTAACTTCTCAGGATGCTTCAGTTTTCTGTAACAAGAAATGAAATAACACAAATTTAATATATTTCTATACAGTACTTCTGGTAAAAAAAAAAACTGTCAGGCTGTATGAGATATGCAGGACATTTACGAGATAACTCAAACTTTGAGAATTGGACTGGGTTATTTATCCCTTTTGAGAGCTAAAACTTAATTTTAGCCAAACTAATAACAATATCATCTGTCGCAGTAGGTTAGGGGAAGAAGAAATGACAATTGTTAGTAAAACTTACCACACTCTTAATATTCCATTTTTTTGGTTTTGGTAATCTGTAACAAAATAAGATCCTTATAATATTCTCAAACATTAATACCTATAGTCTGAACAACATAAAAAGTTTTTTGAATTTTGTCCATTTTTTATATGAGAATTAGAATATCAGCCTCAAAATAATACTGTTAGTCTTAGAATGTCTTTGTGTTGATAAAAATATAAACATGAGCAAAATTTTGGACTTTTTGGATGAAATTTCTAGGAGTCTTTTCAATGTAAACTTACAAAAATTATATTTTTATCAAGACAAAAACATTTTAAGACAGTAAGTCCCATTGCGTTAATCATTGAAAATTTCTTCAGATGTGATTCTCTAAGAAACTTAATATCTAAAAAGGAAAATATTAACCAATTTTCCTTCGTTTCTAGGAATATCTCTCGAGAGGTCCATTTTTATTTAGTTTCATTTCCGGGATGTTGTTTACTCATTACTTTTTCACCCGATTTTCTCTTGTCCATTGATTTTCCAACTTTGAGACTTAATTATTCAACTATTTCTGCAGTTGCCCATGAGGTTATCTATTTGATTCTAAAAGTGAGTATTCACACGGTTCTATCTGAATTTTAGCTAGCACTATAACCTTTTCTCATGTCCCATACTTCAGAACACTAAAAACTTACGGTCTTTCTGGAGACATCAAAAACACAACATCATCACTATCAAATTCTGGTTGTTTAGAAATTTGAAGAGCTGATTCTGAAATATAAGAAAGTTATACATTTGGTATCTGTGTATCAAGTCGTGCAAAAATCCATTACAAGAAAAGATAATGCAAGATGGACATAGCATAAGGATATCCTCACACCATAGCGATTACCAGTTACGTATGGTTGTGAATAATGAAAATGAAAATTGCATGAAAGTTATAATGAAAACTTATGACTGCTTTTCTTTTTTACAACTGGTGATCGCACATGGGGGTGAGTGCACCTTTACTGAGAAGCAAGGAAGATCAATAAATTTTCAGAAAGGGGGAGTCAACAATGTAGTTATAATAATAAATGAATGACTTAGAGAGAGATATACTATCGACTCTTCTACTGCTGATAGGCTAATGAAGGAGAGTAACACCATGAAGTGTGCAATGCTGGAAAATATAGAAGCCACAATACTTACCATCACTACCTTCTATAGGGGATAAGGGTATCATTGATGTATTCTGATCTATAGCAAAGGTTATATTTCCTAGAGCTCCTACAAAATAGAAATTTATTTAACTTACAGAATAGTAACTTTGGATGCATCTACATAAAAACACATAATCTCCAAGACCGACATAGAAATATAAAATCTACTTAAATCAATTGACATGTCAACAAAAATGAATAGAGTTTTATGTCCTAATTATTGCACCTTTTGGGTTTATGAAGATGGGCAACACCATGCAGTGTATAATGAGAGAAATTTTGTCATGATTAGCCTACTCGTTATTTTTGTCCAACTGTTGAATGATCACAGGGCCCTAGACCTTCAGGTTGGCAGGCAAACATCCACTGAGCCACATATGATCATGATAACAAAAATTCTAATTTATTAGGCATCAGATATTAATGTAAATAAGTGTACACCAGTTTGACAGTTTCATCAAAATTTCATTGGCATCAGAATTGATGCACCAATTGATGCACATAATAGGATTATACACATGATAGACATGTGTTTAGGGCAATTGCTCAAAAAATTCAACTCTGAACGAGATCTCATCTGTATATACATGCATTTTCATGTGAGAGTATGTACATACCTGATGGGGTACTAATAGCTCTTGTTACACGATGATTTGGTGTTTTAATAAGAATAGTTGCTGATGATGTACTGGAAGCCTCCTAAAATAGAAAAATTTCATCATCTTCCAGCACAATAACTGAACAAGTAACAATTCTTCATTAAACAAATGATAACTTATGCTGCGTTCAATTCATGCCTTGAAAATGGTGATAACGACTTTCTTGCAAATCTGAAACTTTTGCGCAAAAGTGGAGACTTTAACTTTCTAGTTAAGATAGACAATGAGGTTTTGCAGCGGGAATATGTTTTATATTCCAATTCCAAGCTAACGGCTTTAACATCGCTGACAGAGAAAGTGAGTGTTACACAATAACATTTGAAGTCTCTGCTATTTTTACACAGAGTCAAAGTGAAGGTGGAAGAAGTTGTGAAAATCTATGTTGACATTTTTTTTTAGGTCTTTCAAGAGAAGTAAATATGAGAGAAACCCAACACCGATAAAAATTACCCTGTTTATCAAACGCGGTCCCATCACATTTGATCAAAATTTACTAATGAAAAAAACATTCATGGATGTTAAATCCAAATAAAAATAACAAAGTTACTAACATTAGTGTTGCTTGAACTTCCAATGGGATCTTTAGAATTTTCATCAGCCCAAGTTACACCAGACTTTCTCCTTTCTTTATCACTAACTGGTGTTCCACCTTTACTCTTATTACTGGGGGTTTTTCCTTTAGGTGTTTTCTTAGTTTTACTGGGTGTATTTCTAGCTTCCTTTAACTCTTTTAATCTCTCAATATTCTTTTTAGCCGAATTCAAAATGGCTGCTGACAACAGTGGTGGTCTTGGTCTGAAAGTTGTAATAATATTTATGCCATTTAGAAAATTAGATATATATAATCTAATACATAATGTGTACATGTATATTGAAAAATAAGATTTTAATCATACAATATTGGCAATTTTTTTTTAAAATCCCTGGCCTGCATCACTCAAAATCTAAACATTATCTAGACCAAAGTCAGGTTTGAATTTGCAGACCTTCATGGATTCAGAGGCATAATTTGGACAATGTCAACTTACCCAGTTATTTTGTCTTGTTTAGGAGTTCCTACAGTAGATGTCTGAGTTGTAGTACTGTCAGTTCTAGAAGGACTGTTAACAGTGGTGTCTGTATTATTGTCACTGGAAGGTTCTGTTACTATGGTTACAGGAGTAGCCACAGGTGTACCAGTCTGAAATAACCATATTATTATATAGTGATGGTATTCTTATACCTCAAACAAGGTTTTTAAGAAAGAAAAACATAAACATATTCAAATGTTAATTCTGGTCATGTAGGCTTGCACACTCCAATATCAAAGTTAAGACTTTTTTCCCTTGACAATTACATGAAAATGACATCATGAGTCTACATATGATGGACAGGTTTGCCATCCTTTCGACCAATCATACCTTAGTCTCAGAAACAGGAGTTTTTTATCAGTAATATTTAGTGTTTACAGCTCTTTTATTTTGAGATATTTTTCGATTTTCGTGTATTTCTAGTGAAGATCATTTGCATATATTCAAGACCAAAATCAACCCTCGAATATGGTGAACCATGGACTTTACCTACTTGAGATACAGAATTCATAATGTAATTTTAAGCATCTTACCTGGCTAGCCATTGGTATAGTATCTGTTGTTATATTATTACTTTCATTTTCCTGTTGTTCTTCAAATCTTTTTATATCAAAATTCAATTCTTTCAATAGCTGTTTATCACTTGCAAGAATTTCTATAATGGAACATACAATGACATTGTTTTCAACCAGCCAAATGATGTCACTTCAATTTCCAATGAATGAATGTCTTACTTTTTTGAACCATTTTGGGATAACGAAGTAAGGTAATGCCATGGAGCCCTCTCACAAAGCCTTTTTTTTTTACATCTTCTCATACAATCATTCCATCCCACATGATAGCCTTTAACATCCAGTCCCTCTTTGTCAATGTATAGCTTCGAACACTTGAGTCAGGCATCGTTATAAAAAATAAAGAGGGGACAAAATGAAAAACTGCCTGATTCCATTCTAACCTTCTAATATCAAAACGATTCATTACATTGATAAATAAAAAACAAACCTTCAATTTCTGTTTTAAAATCTTTCATTAAAACTTGTAAATAAATCATGAGATCTTTTAAAACTGGTGATTTTTCCTTTTCTAGCTGTAATATAATTTATATATGTGTATTTATTTTCCATTGATAAAGTCAATTTATTGTAGACAAATCTAATTTCAGACTTTTCTTTTAAAAAGTGTACAAAATAGCTTTACCAGATTTTCGTTACATTTTTTAAAATCAAACTCTGAAGTAAGATTTGTCTACAATAAATTAAATTGTCTTGAAATGAAAAGGGAATAACAAGTCTTACTTTGCTTCTCTTGGTGTGGCTAATGAAGACAGCCAATGCTGCATTGTGAAATGAGTGAAATGAGATATATTTAATGTGCACTGCATAGTCTGTAGCACTGAGATAGAAAAAATCCAATATCCAAAATCTCAACCTATCAAGCCCCAGAATATCAAATTGCGAAAAACAACCTCTGTAAGCAACTTTCAAGACACGTCCTAATAAATCTGTTAACTTTGAAGACCTTTAAATTGTACTTACTATATATTTTAGTGATGTAACTATTGGTACAATATTTTCTATTACATTTTTCTTAACTACCTAAAATTTATAAAACTTGATATTAATTAAAGCAATTTTTCACCACAAGATGAGCATTCAATTTTTCTAATTTGATTTATCTTTGTATTTGACAAGAAAAGCGTAAAAAAAAATTGTGTCTAGGGCAATATACCAATATCATGATAAATACTGGTATAGGAATTCATAACATTAGTTATATTATTATCGCCTCATTCAAAAATACCAAAATATTGCCAGATCTTGATATATAATAATCAATGCAAACTGCACCATAAAATAATTGTCCAGATAAGTTCATCTACGCAATTTTAATAAAGATTGAAATAATAAACACATCGGAAGACAAATACCTGTGTTATAAGATGTTTTTTAGCAGTTGCCAAGACAACGGCAGCCATATCTGGTTGTTGCTCATCATCATCTTGTGCTGTCGGTTTAGCTTTCATACTAGATATCTTTATTTCCTGTAAAAAAAAAAAATGACCAGAGCTCTTGCTGATTATTAACATCACACAGTGTGCAAATTACCAGGAGAGCAGCATAAGCCTGCTCTTTTCGATTTTCAACTGTTGAGAGATCTTTAACCTGCCCAGCACTATAGCCAAGACCTTTAGGTAAGCAAGCCAGAGTCTAACTTTGGGCTTTACTATACCAAAATGATTTCTTCCACACTCTTTCTTCAGCAGAAACTGTTTAGCTACATCTGGTCTAAATGTAAAAGTCATATAAAAAAAAAACCTTGATTTACCTTGCTACTCAAAATAGCTAATGAATCTTTTAATAACGGTAATGATTTCTCATTCAATGGTAAAATATTATCAACAACACCACCTAGTATCTGGAGAGAAATAAAATATTATTGAAAGATATTATCTGTACGACTACCTTTAAACTTTTAGTCTGACATTTAGGTCATTTGTTCCTCAACCCCTTCAGAAGCTCCATTCGCTTTTTTTAATTTCAACCTCGACAGTTGTATCCCCTATTAAATCAGTCTGCCCCTCCTATGTATCCTCCCCTATGTATCTATTTTGTAAGTCCTAACTGCCTCAAAATGAATACTAACTCATTCTAATTAAACTAGACAAAGCCCTTGTTCAGTTTTTACCAGTCTTGGGAGGCAGTTTAATGGTCATATATGCCAAATATTTATAATTATTCAAAGCTAGGTAGTTGGAATAGTGAAAAAAGATGAATTACTGAGGAAAGATGATGAAATGACATAAGATTCCTAGCCTTCTGACCAGCTGAGCTGTTGTCTCATCATGAAAGAAATAACAATGGGCATACTTACATCTTGACAGAGTTTTGAAGTAAGTTGAAATTTGTGCTGATCATTTGTGTGTTCTAACATAAATAAATACAACTTTAATCTCTTACTGAAAATAAAGATGAATTTTTTTTGGAATAAACATATGAAAACAAAATGGAATTTAATGAATCTTATTAAGTATTATAAATTATTTACAATTTTGTCCAATTAAATAACTAAATGCGTTTTCTTTTTAATAAAATCTTATAAAAATATAAATTTAAATTACCTGGCAGCATGTTCACCTTTCATATTAAATAATGATTTCTCCCGGTCCGTCTGTGTAAATTTATTGTAAACTGAAATACAAACATACAATTACAAATAACAGGCAAGGTAATATACACCAACTGGCAGCTTTGATTTTGAATAAAAATATTTGGCAGTACAGTAACAATTACCAATATACAATATTCAACCTTCAGTCTTACACTATTGAGTTCTATGGCCATACTGAATAATATTATGAGGTTTTGTCAAAATCCAGCAAGAATCATGCCTTTTAGTGTTTTCGTCTTAAAGATGGGTTCCCTTATTTTCAGTTATGAAAATGAAAATGCTAATACTTATATGAATAGAAAGTAGAGGTGTTCTAATGACTTGGAAAAATACCAGTTTGTCTCACATGTCCATAATTAATTCATAATTAGCGGAATGACCAGTAGAATTCCAATGAGTGATGGATCAATAAAGGTCAAAAATTCTCTTTTTTGTTTATCCAGACAGTACATACATGGACATCTATGATTGGTTAAAACTCTTAATTTTATGCAATAAGAACATAATGAAATGATTAAAAATACATGATAATTAATTAGAAACGCCAATTAATCAAATAGTTTGCTTAATTTGACACTAAAAAATAAGGAAACCCATCTTTAAAAAATAAAATAAATAAATAAAAAACTTACCTGAACTTTCAGTGTAACCATTAAAGTGAAAAATACATTCAATAAAATGATTAAAGAACATATTAGGTTGTCTATGTAGTAAAATATTGATCATACAGAACTCAGCTACAATACAAAAATACATACAAACAAATCTTGCAATGAAATGATTCAGTTATATCACTTTTAGTTCTAGTCCATATTTTACCCAAAGAAATAGACTTATGCTACGTTCGATACCACTCGTGAAAATAGTGTTTAAGACTTTCTCGAAGTGCGAAAATCGTGCGCAAAACTGGAGACTGTTCGGACGATAATCATGACTTTGTAACTAAAGATGGACAGCCAAATAATGTAAGCCATTTTTCCATGAGGTCAAGGTGAAGGCTGTAGAAATTGTGAAAATGGGTGTCGTAAATTTTTCTCTATATTCACGACTTCCTAAAGTAGTAAATACGAGAAAAACCTACTATCGAATGGAAATTCACAACATTAACCCTGTGAACACGGTAATCACAAGAGGTATCAAACGCAGCATTATTTATAGGTCTAATTTTAACAAAAATTTTGTGTTTAATGGCCATGGTTTGCCAATTTTGGGGGTTGATTTGGGTCTTGAAATTGCATAATCACTTCAAACTAGAAATTTCACTTTTTTTTTTTATTATTTTTCTATGTGGTGGTGTAATAGAAAAGACAAGTCTTCATTTTAACATTCAATTAAATGCAAGATTTTTATAAAATAATGGAACAGGTATAAAAACTTACCAAAATCTTGAATATCTGAGTCTGAGTCTAATAATGTCGTAATAAATCTAAAGAATAAAACTCCTTTCCATTTGATAAAATCTTCCTGCAAAATAATTTATAATAACTTGTAAGATTGTGATAGGAATTATTATTGGGTTGCACTATCCCACAATTCATAGTTGATATTTAGGATTATGCATGACATGCTGTGATTGGTTGAAATTTACCTCAACATTACATGACCTTGGTATACACCTTTAAAGATTACAATAGAGATCCACGAAAAATAATAACGTAACCAAATTGTAGTCTTGTTTTAATTAGATTGTCTCTAGTTTTTTGATGTCACAATATGGACAATTTCCCCTAATTTGTGTTATTTTCTATAATATTTAATGTAAATCCAAGGCACGAACCAGTAGTCAACAATGAGTTTGTCTACGATTAAAATAGTTACTATACCTGTAGTAAACGTGTCAGCAATGTTAAAGTTTGTTTACGAATCAAAGGAGCCCGATCTTTAAGACAAACAGCAATATTTGGTACATAACTATCAATTACAGTTGTATACCTGAAACAAACAGAAATATTGTAAAATTTATCAATAGTGATCCCATTTCCAAGTACTGTCACGTGGAAGAGGGAGTACAAGCTAAGACCAATAAGAATTTTGATGAAGTTGAAAAATGACAACAACAAAAATAATGAAATGCTATACTAGTAGCTCAAATAAAGTCATCAACTGTATTTGTTTATGTACTTAACCTATTACAGTTAATATAACTAACCATCACTACAATATTATTACTAATCAATTACCAATATACCAAAATGATGTTGGTTTCAGCCAAGTCAAAGAATTTTGAAATATATAAATTTTACTGATAATGAATTTTTTGTCTGTTATTTGTTAGGGGGAAATATAAATGTTTTTTTCACAGGAAGTGTCTTTCTGAAATTGTCGAGAAATATTGTAATGTACTTACCTTATACACAAATCACACATTATAATAACAATATTATTACGTAATACTATATCACTACAGGTCTCTAATTCACGAGCTAAAGCTGGGATACATTTCTTAGCTAGTCTTTCATTTTGTAAAAGTAATTTACCTACAAAATCATAAATCATTTTTTAGTTCCACTATTTAGGGCCAGACATGAAAATTTCATTCTGACCAATTATTCACCATGACAAAGTCAAATTTGCTAGTTTCTATACAACGTTGAAGCATTTATGATTCTATAAAGAAGTTATACGATGCCCCACAATATAGTCAAGCTATATGTATTAGTTGACCATATTAGGTGTCACATTAGGACACTGACAGCATCAATTTGCACCATTCAAATTTTCAATCAAATGTTTGTGGTTCCTGCAATTCCACTTAAACTTAGCCTTTGGTGACGTCACTAATTGTGATAAAGGATATCTAGCTGTTAATGACGTCATCAAACTCTTACTTTTAATGAAATTGCAGTAACCTTAGACATCTGACCGAAAAATTGGAATGGTGCAAATTGATGCTATCAGTGTTCCTGATACAGAAAAGATTTAGAAAACCTCTTTAGAAGTTTACTTACCTAGTGTGATAAATGCAAAGGTGCGAACTCTATTTGATGTATTAAAACCTTTAAACTGTGAAAATGGTTGGGAAGGAGGTATTGCTTGCTGTGTACCCTGGGAACTTTGTGATGAGTTCTGGGAAGAGTTTTGAGAGGAAGTATGTGAAGTATCAGAGATTTGAGAATGATGTTCACTGGGTAATTCACTTCCTGTAAAAATTTCAACAGTTTTATCATTTATTACTAGATTACACTTGTACTTGATTGGTGATCCAAACCTTTAGTACATGAATGTAAAATTGCGCCATTATTTTGATCTTTAAAAATCCGGAAGACTAGACTCTTTTTCTACAACATTTCTTCTGGCCTGGCCTGACGTGATAGAGGGGAACTGGGATTAAAAAAATCTTGAAAGTCTATTGTGACCTACATCAGGATTGAAGCCTGGAGCTTAAAGTTAGCAGGCAAGCTTCAAACTCCTTGAACCACCATGGCTCTGTAACTAGATTCAAATCATTAACTATACATTACCTGCTACTATACTTTGTACTAATAAATATATACGTTGTGGTGTTTTAGCAGGACAGAGTTGAACTATTTCTCCTATAGTACTTAAATAACACACTATCTTATCTTCATCTACTTCACCTACAGAAAGTCCAACAAGATCAAGCAAAGATAAATTTGATAATTTCGTAATATGACATTACAGCTAAAACATCAACTTCCATAGTTTAACTTGTTTAATCTGAAGGATTACTTTTGCTCTTTCTACGAGCTTCACCTTATACGCTCATACTATGTTTTATGTATTCGGCCCAATGATGGTTGTTGGGATATAAGGATATAAAATTTTTCAATTTGTATCAGTGAGGTTGATTACTTACCTCATATTCTAATTGATCAAAGTTGGCCCAACCCAGCTGTTTTGATGAAAATTTTATATTTGACACAAAAATCGGAACGCCCTTCTAAATTGCATTTGAGTCGAATTGCGGAAGAATAATCTTATTGACTTCATGCTCATATAGAATAAGTACAATATCTTTGCTCATATACCTAAATCTCCACATTCAAAAGTAGCTCGCCTTCCAAACGAACAAATTGGTATACATCATGTTGGCAGCATGAAAGGAATTCTTAGACACGGAGAATGTCAAGCAAAGATTTATCTAGAAATGTACCCACCTTCTAATTTGTCTTCAAATATAACTTTAGAAAGATATTCATCACAAGATTTTAACAGTTGTACTCCCCAAGTTTCTTTCTGACTTCGTGTTGTATCTCCTTCAGATGTAGCTTGACATTCACTCAACTACAATTACAAACAAAACTATTAATGACTTCAATGTAGAACAGTGTTTTCCAAACCATTTTCAACTCTTACATCCCACAGCAATCATTTAGACCACTCACACTCACTTTCACTATGAAACTAACCTTTGATAATATTTTAACTATGAAACTAACCTTTGATAATGTTTAAACCTTTGATAATATGTTTAACCTATGACACTAACCTTTGATAATGTTTAAACTATGATAATGTTTAAACTATGACACTAACCTTTGTCAATATTTTAAACTACGAAACTAACCTTTGATAATGTTTAAACTATGAAACTAACCTTTGATAATGTCTAAACAATGATACTAACTCTTAATAATGCTTAACTATGACACTAACCTTTGATAATGTTTTAACTATGACAGCTACTAATCCTGGTGGCGAATCAAATCTTTTTAATCTGTTATTCAAATCATCTACAAAAAAAAACCATTTCTATTTACCAGCTCAAGTATGCAACTTCTATATATCTGGTTACCCTTATCAAGGTAAGGCGTGCAGTCTGGAGAATAGTCAGGCAGTAGTCTATATAAGCCATAACACAATGAACATGAAGGTTTGGCAATATAAAAATATATTTTGTCTATCATCTAACATTATTATGACAGACAAGTTGTCAGCCACCAGTTAGCTGATGCAAACGTATGTACCGATATGCAGCGGTCATTACAAATAGTCTTCCATAATATTCTCACCTATCATATCTAGTCTAACAGTAGATAACAGATGTTCAGCTGTATAGCATATTACATTTAATACTCTTTCAAACGTATCTTCTTCTTCATCTACAAAAATTACACAAATAACATATTTACAGATTACAAATTTAATACATGATTTACACAAAAAGTATTCTGTACTTTCAGTTATCCATGAAAAATCATATTTTTTACAGATTTGAGTTGGTACAAGTAATTGTACATGTATGTTATAGTATTGGCTCATTTTAAAAATATAAGCACTAGCTGTTACCAAAACGGCACACATATTATTTTCCAGTCAACTTTCTCCCAATATACCATTATACACATTATTGCAAATGAAAGTTTACCTTTTAATGACTGTGAATGTTTTTCCCAATAATCGATAACAAATTGTGCATTTATTTTGGGTACAAACTGGGCTATTATATAGATTAATAACCATGCGCCCTGAAACAAAAAAGACGTGAATCAGAATTCATTTCTGTACTTCAGTGGGCTAATACATTGTAGAATTCTGCCATGTATGATCAAATACAGTACACCATATAGTTTGCATAAATTTAGTCAAAATCAATCTAATTCAAATTAGATTAAAATTTCATATCTTTTTTGTTTCTGATAGTTTAAGTCTACATTGTAATCCAAGAATTTAAAAACTGTCTCAAAGGTAGCATTTTTAACCAATCAAAGCATGTCATGTAAATCCTGTTTCCACAATACCTTAAATCCGGGTTCTGCATAACACGCTTTGATTGGTTAAAAAATACTACCTTTGGGACAGGCCTTTGGTAGAAACCTTGTTATATTACCATGGAGACAAAAATATCAATTTCGGATCGTTTGTATAAAGAAAGTGTGTTAAGGAGTATCTATGTAAAATCTAAAAGATTAAATTCTGTGGTAAATCAAAATGCTATTTCTATTGCTCTGTTTAATTTTCTAAGGAATACTACAAGTGTACCATATCTTTAAGAATTACCTTATTATTTTCAGTATCAATATGCGTCTCCAGATTTTTCATGTATGATAGCTTGATCTTTTTACTTCTAGCTAATGTTTGACAGGCAAGCTGTAGGTAATGTCTATAATAGAAAATAAAGGATTCATACATCGAAAAGAGTTGATTAGCAAAAATATGCTCAGAAATCATGGGAAATAATTTATCCACCATAAGGAATTTGACAATATTTCGGAAATGAAATGTCCTAATAAAGCAGTGTGGAATGAGGGAAATTTTGCCAGGAAAGCAGCATTAGCCTACTCTTTTTGATTTCTAAATGTTGAGTGCAAAGCTTGTAGGACATAGGGCCTCCATATTTTGTTCCATCCAAAGGACAAGAAGCTATTTCAATGTCAGTCCTCCAACCTGCATCAATATTACATTTCATAGACTAGACAAACTGTTTTACTATTACCAGTTAAAAAGCTTGATATTTGATTTATAACACTAAAGTAGTTGACACTTATTTTTTGTATAATACCTCAAATCAGCATGTTGGTCTTCAGTCAATGTTGATATCAACCCCCACAATAATCTGTGACCTTCATCTGTGGACCTTGAAGACATAATATTATATCACCATCTGATCTGCAGGATACTCTAATTGCATTCACTAATTCATACTAATTTGCTTCATAAACTTGAAAGTAGAGACCACAATAATGATACTGTTAATTCTAAATTCCCTTTTTGACATTGAAGCACAAAATTCTTAAAACTAACTTGTGATAGGTTGTCAAGTTTCCAAATATTACATCTTCGACTAATTCACAACATTTATCTTGTAGAGTATTCTCTCGATCCATCACTAGAGGAAGGGCACCATCTAACCAAATTCTAAAATAATTCAAATAATACACTTTTGAAATAGCAACGAAATAAACCTTTGTACATGTTAATATTAAATTTAATAGTATACTGTGTAATATACCATTAAAACACTGTATAGATTGTTGATATTACTCACCCTTGTACATCTTTATTTAATGGTATACTGTGTAATATATCTGTTTAACACTGTATAGATTGTTAATATTACTCACCCTTGTACATCTTTATTTAATGGTATACTGTGTAATATATCTGGTTAAACACTGTATAGATTGTTTTCTTACAGATAAGGAAGGATCACAACATCTCTCGTTAATCATGATCAAATTCTGGAATTGATAAAAAATAATATTGCCTACACAGTACCGAGTATTTTCTTATGGGGGTTTTTTTGTGGGTTTGTATCCATGATGAGACAAACATGTTTTGCATTTCATGTTCTGGATCATTTAATATACAACAAAACAAAAACAATATCTCACCTCTTTTCTGAAGTTTGGTTTCTCAAACAAAATGATATTTTGTAAGGCTTGTACTGCAGCTTTTCTTACACCAGCATTTTCATCACTAGATCTTCTACGCAGCATAGATATCACACCTTCATTATCTGTTAAATCTATGGAAAACAATATTGTATATTAAACAATGCTGCCAAATATTCAAGAATGGAGCTTCCAATTTCTTTGCGGAAATCTATTATGTATGACATATATAGGGAAATCAATGATACTTGATACAGTTACTATAAATAGGTGTATCGATTCAAGATTCCTTCCTTAATTACCAATACCTTTAAAACATATGGTACAAAATTATTTTCAATTTTTGATTGAGTAACAGATAGAATTGGTGACCTCATTAAAAGATGGGTTCCCTTATTATTATTTATAAAAATGAAAATTCTAATACTTGTATGAATAGAAAGTAGAGGTGTTCTAATGACTTGGAAAAATACCAGTTTGTCTCACATGTCCATAATTAGTTCATAAATAGCTAAATTAGTAATGAATTACCAGCAGAATTCTAATGAGTGATCGATCCAGAAAGGTCAAAAGAGATTTTTTTGTTTATTCAGACTGTACATACATGGACTTCTAATTCTTAATTATATGCAATAAGAACATAATTATATGATTTAGAATACATGATAATTTATTAGAAACATCTATTAACCGAATAGTTTGCTTAATTTGACATTAAAAATAAAGAAACCCATCTTTAAGCAATATTTTGTTTTAATATCAACTAATAAATTCTTACCTGGATTAAAACCAGGTGTTAGCTGAACACCAACAAAAGGTGTAAAAGGAAAAACTGTTCTGTTTCTACTAGTAGAGGTAGTATTTCCAACAGTAACATTAACATCACTATCTGAGGGAGTCACTAGTGGTGTCTCATTCTCTCCATCTTTACTTATACTTTCTAGGAGAAAAAAGCGAAAAAAAAATTGAATTGAAATGAAATTGTAAAGAATAATACCGGTAAACCCAAACTTATCTAGAAAGTTACTCACTTTTTGCTCTTATCATCATTGGCTAAATTTTCTATTCAGTTGCTCACTTGATGGTGATCGCGAAATTGTGTATCAATACTTGATAACTCTCGTTCCATAAATAAGTGTGGATTTTTAAAATTATTTTATCATATAACAATTTTTCAACTAATTTCTATCCCATTACCTCATATCGCGATTTGTATCGTATCCTGCGTGACCATTGTATCGGGATATGTATCATATAGTGACCCTTGTATCGGGATCTGTATCGTATCGTTACCCTTGTATCGGGATCTGTATTGTATCTTGTCTCTTGTATCAGGATATGTATCATATCGTGACCCTTGTATTGGGATATGTATCATATCGTTATCCTTGTATCGGGATTTGTATCATACTGTGACCCTTGTATCGGGATTTGTATCATATCGTGGCATGATTGGTGATACACAGCACTAGTGTATAAAATTAAATAAATACCTGGAGTGATTCTGGTTTCAACTCTATTCTGTAAATCAGGTGTAGGTATCAAGTGTGGGGGATGTTTTTGGCGGCTGGCATTTGCTCTTGGTGTAACTATCTCTCTCATAGCTGATACCACATCAGTATTCAGAGATACAAAACATTGTGAAAATCCTAATATAGCTTTAGACCGAACCCTGGAAATTAAAAATTTACATATATCTTATTGATTATATCTAGATTTTTCCTGAAGACACCATCATTTATACATTTTTATGTCACTAACATATTAACCAATCAATTGCTTCATAATAATTTAAATTTTGATCAAATCTAAATATCTAGAAATTTGATTGGTTAATCAGAAATCGATTCCAGTGATCGACCAATCAGATGATGTAGGGATTTCATGAAACTTGCCACCAATTAGAGTTTCCACATTCTGGAATATGAATTGTCAGCCTTATTTTGATTGGTTGTATTACATTTCGATGCTTTTCAACCTGAAAGTCCCTCAAACCTGCAATACAGATATCAGTAAACCTGGTTAGCAAATTCAAATGCACTACCACAACATATTGTATACCTGGATGTAACCTAGATTTGCAGAGAAACATAAATAGATCGAAACAGTAAATATACTTACGAAGGAGATAAATCTGAACATCTAGCTAATATAACACTCATTAATGATTTATGTTTGGTTATTAACACTGTTTCATCATTCACATCATCTATAATACAAAGTCGGATTTTAGCTGTACTTACAGAATGTCCCAGATGAAATTTAAAGGAAGATGTAAAACACCATTCATTTTATTTCCAGATGGAATTTAGAATTTAAAGTCTTATATATTTTTTCTTTTCCATATTAATTATACTATTGTATTGATAAGGAATCGCAAAGTTTTGTCAAAAAGCAAAAGTGGACAGAACAATCAACCAACTGATATGGATGATGACAAGTGATAATATACTTTGGTTTAGCCTACCTATAGATTCTGGTTCCTTTCTTCCTAATAACAAAGTTACAACTTCTAAAGCAAATATTCTGTGACTCATCTACATGGAAAAAATATACATGATTTTCATGAATGGCATACAACTTTTACCTTCTTGATGTTTCACTGTTAAAAATGTATTGATGCCTAGTCATATAATTATTTCATTTACTTCAACTGACATAATGATACATATGATACATGTGTTTAGTAGGAGATTGTTTTCCATTTTGTAACATGTTCATCATACATGATACATGAATTCTATTCCTTTCGTTGGATAAGAAAAATAATTGGTCCAGTTCAAATAAAAGGAAATATCTTTACCTTGGCATGTTGTGAAAGCTTAAGTAACCATTCTAATACTTTAGAGTAGGATGGAGCTGGGAAATCTTGAAGCAACGTTACTATAGCCTGAAATTGAAGACAGATTTTCCTTCATATGACAAATGGAAATGTCACTAGGTAACATGACAACTCTTGATTTTGCCATGTTTTGGACGAGATTTTGATTAACGGAATTCTCTTGCTTGAATGGATCATATTCACAGGTTTCGAGTCCTTCATAAAAAAACAGTATTTCTGACTAGTATGAAATCCTCTCTCCCAATGCTCAACAGTAAATTGGTTTTTGTAAATATTGTGAAGTATATATGACTAACTAAAAGGTTTAATTTAACATAAAACTTTGAAATAAAATGTTTCGTACCTTGGCAACAGTCAACCTGAAATCTGATTTATCTAAAACTTTAGTACTCATATGCTGAATTAATGTGCTTATTACTGGTATAGTAGTCTCTCCTCCAGTTTTCATTATATATCTACACAAAAAATATACACATAATTCATTCTCATCACATAGTTTGGAATAGTGATCTGTTTCATTGCAACAAAAAATCTGATTTTAGGAAATTCAGTTATCAGAGCAGATGCAATAAATGAATTTCAAAATTGATTTTTTCATTTGACCACTCAGGGAACTGAAATCATCATCAGTTGTACCTGATATCCCAGCAAGAATTGTGCCTTTACGGGTTTACGAGCAAAAAATTGAACACGTTTCAAGAACAAGGGCAATAACTCATACTAAACATTTTTCAATTCTTCTGATTTTCAATAGGGTTCATCCTTGGGTGATTACGAACACTTACATCAAGTTTCATTGAAATCCATCCAGAATGATGCCTTCAAGAGTGTTTACGAGCAATTGTGGACGGATGGACATGAAAATATATGGCTTAACTAACCTGAGAAATTCTACTGTTTGATCAACTATTTTGGTATCAGCTCTAACTACTGATTTACCAGCCATCAATAGATTAGGCAGAATATATTTACACACCTAAAATAAGGAAAAATAGACAGTAGGTTTGGAATTCCTTAACCTTTCAATTTCAGGTTTGATTTACACCCACGGTCAGCTAACTGACTGATCAGGGATGGGAATTCAGATAGTGAACAATGACATTTGGCTGCAGACAAAACTTAATAGAATAAACAGATATGTCTGCTGTAGGTCAATGCACCAGGAGATAAACTGTTAACTTACCGCTGTAAGAATAGTTATATTAAGACTTGGAACTGTACACATTAAATCTAAACACTAAAAAATAACAAAAATAATAATAAAGAGGATTTCAAGAGAAGCTTGTATGGTAACTTTATATCACAAGAAAGTTATTTTATCATTGTTAGAGGCAATATACCTCAAAATTTTCATACCACACAAGAAAGGTCTCAAAAGAAGATAGTAAAAATTTAAAAACTTTAATAAGTAGTCTAAGGAACTTACTCTGTAAGCCAAGCATGGCACCGACATGTTTTCTATAGATGGCCTAGAAAAAAGATTACATTAACAGTAAGACATAAGCAGAAATAATCTGTTAATTTTCTTTATTTATGCAAAAAACTTCGATGTGTATTCAAAATTCACAGGGTCTCACTATCTTCACAATGTCAAGATATTACTATCTTCATAATAGGCTACCTTGTTATTGTGAAGATGCACAGCTACATGATTTCATAAAACATATTTCAAAAAATGAAATGAATGGAGTTTTACGTCCTACTTTTCTGCACTATGTGAGCTAATGAAGGGTGCAATGAGAGGAATTTTGCCAGGACAGCGGGATTAGCCTGCTCTTTTTTTCGATTTCCAACTGTCAAGGGATCTTTAACATGCACAGTCTGTTTCACTCGGGCCTCAGTTTATTGTCCCATCTGAAAATATAATTAAAAAAAATATGATATGAACAGAGTTACTAAATTACATACTACTTTCATTAATCAGTTGAAAAAAACTAACTTACCATGAATAAAAGTCAACGTCCACCATTTCCTGTCTTGTTAACTGTACAAAATAGGATATCAGTCTGTGAGCTGTAGAATATGAGCTCTTTAAAGAAAATCCTTCAAATAAGTGAGTTAAATCCTGAAATATAATTGATGCCCTTTATATGAATTGAAAATTATTTTTTTGTCATCTAAAGATGATTGGTCACTCATTCACTCAATTCTGCTGGTAATTCTCTTCTTATTAAGATAAATATGAATTAATTATGAACATGTGAGACAAACTGGTATTTTTCCAAGTCATTACTTTCTATTATAAGTATTAGAATTTTCATAAATAAAAATAAGGGAAGCTATCTTTAGGAATATAAATGGTTTAGTCTCAACTGACCTTCAACAAATTGAGTAATAGTTTCATTAGCCTGTTGACTTGAGATGGGGTTAGCTCCTCATCAATATCATCATCATCATTAATAGACACATCCTCATCATTATTCTAAAACAGAAATCATTATTTTGAACCAGAAATCATCACAATCAATTTATGATACCTTCTCATCATTTTCTAAAAACTGAATTTATCACATCATATACAAAAAATCATCATATCAATATAAAGTCCTACATCATTATTCAAAATCATCAATCTATGATACTTTCTCATCATTATTCTAAGACAGACATCATCATAATCAATATATATATAGGTCCTGATCATTATTCTAAAATAGAATCACTATCATTATTTAATACATCTTTATCATTATTCTAAAACGGAAATTGACATCATTGTGATAGCAACTGTTGTCAGGTCATTTGTACAAATCTACATCTATTGTACTTTCTATTTAGTGCAAGGTCTGGTAAGTGGAGTCTAGTTAGATTAAAAATATGTTTCTTGAAATTCATGGCCAAAATTGATAAAAAAATTCGGGAGTCTCAAATACCATATAAAAAGGAGATAGTTTTTTTTTACCAATTTTTGTCCATCTGAGACACAGCCATAGAATGAATCCCTTTTACTTACCAGTGAACTGTCTTCTTCAGCAGTGTTCTTTCTTTTCCTCTTTTTCTGACCTTTTTTCTTCTTGCTGCCACCACTATCAGAACTAACTTTACGTTTAGTAGAACCAACATTATCAAAGAATTTTAATATTTCCACACACTTGACAATGATTTCTGGATGAAAAACTTTAAAGGCTCCACTTCCTATAAGAGACCAACCAGTTGCGTGATAATCATTGTGTCTAAACCTTTGATGTTAATCATTATACATATATCTTTATGATAAAAGCTAATTTACTATAAATAAATTAGCAAGGGCAGACTTAGATTTCCATCATCTCTAATGATGTGTTTACTATTTCCATTTTTAACAGTAATGATTATATCTCACACTGTACAATGCATTAAACATAGCCTGTTGACTGAGTGCACAAATTAAACTTCTTAACCACATTTTTAAAATACTTACCAGGAAGAGCTAATAATTTGATATAGACTGAGGCTGCTAATATAGAGGCTTCTTTCATAACATAGTTAGAATTTACCTACAAAATTTAATAAGATTTCAAGAAATATTTACAATAGAAAGTAAAGTAAATAGTAGAATAAGGTGAAATTCACAAATGTAAATCATCTTTTTGGATCTAAAATGAAATGGGATAGGAGCTTTTCATCTAAATTTTCTGCATACGATTTCCACAATGGGTTTGACAAAAACTACAACAATTCAGCAATATATCTATCCTATGTGCATCACATCAAATAGTGATGGGTGCCAACAAGCTCGCTTCCTATTTCCCTATTATACTTTCATGGAGAAATACAATCATAGGAAGCTACTTGTAGTACCGATACCAAGATCAAGCAAAGAAGAGCCTAAAAAAGGCATGTTTTTGAGATAATCTTGTTGCTAATTATTCAGATAATTTGTTATGAAATAATTTGTGTGATAAATAAAATCTCACCTTGGTACCAATGTCTAGTAGATAGTATAATAATACTACTGTAGATTTTAATGATATATCATTATCTACCAATAAAGTCCATAGTCTCCCTACAAATATAGAGGATTTATAACTCTAAGAGACCACAGATGGAATTGCCCATGGGCCTTTGTAACTTTTTCAATTAAATAAGGAGACACAATTTTAAATAATGGAACACAATTTTATGGTATTACACTACTCCTGCTATTGTACACAACGGTTCAACAATTTACACCATCATCATCCTCCATATCCCTTTGAATGAGAATACCAGAATTTGTATCTGGGACTTGAATAATTCAAGGTATACATACTTTTACATAGGATTTGATATAACTTAAGAAATATTAAATATTAAAAATGATATTCTACCGTCTTTTTCCTTCACTAATAATTTACAACAATCTTCTAGCTGTGAAATATTATATCTATCATTACTAACTATAGTTACAGTTTCCTCTGGTATTTCACCTAAATCTGTAAAATCTGCTGTCCATACATCTTTCACCCAATCTGAAAAAGTATAAGAACATAATTTAAGTATGGTATCAATTAGGGTAGATACATAAAAACATGTATTGCACGCACCTTTCAAGAATGCTTGAATCATTATATTGCAAATAGCTGTCAACCTCAATTAGCATTAGAGTATTATCATGCTAGTAAAGGGAAACAGTCTACAACTATATGACCCAATCTTTTTTCCTCAAGTATAAGTCTATCTAACTGGAGTGGGTCCAAGGCGTCACCAAGACACAGTTATCATATGACATAGTTATCTCATAACAGGAATCTCCGAATCAGACTGTCATCCTTCAAGATTGAAGTTATTGAAAACATAGTGATTTATGTCCTATCCAGATCTATTCAAAAAACTGCCAGTCACATTGGTATATAAAAAAGACTATGTCTATGGTTCTCAGGAGAGGTGGATATTGTCTATACAGCAACAAAATAATGTCTGTTTATCAATTGTGAAGGCCAAATAATTATTTATGAAATAGTGTTCTTATTGTGACACTTCGGCAGTAGCATTATCCTACTTTAGTTTAACACAATGACACTGACGGTGACACTGCCGAGGTCACTGCCCCACATTGTCAATGATATAAAAATGAATCTGAATCATGTTGATTTAGTTGACAAACCTTGATTGATTGAATTGATTGGCAGAGCTGAAAAGGCTGCAATAATACGATCTGAATCAATCATTTTTTAATTTTTGTTTTCCAAAACACCGCCAAAACACCATTTCCGGTGTAATTCATAACAAATCACAGCGACATCTGTACATTGACCACGCCCTATTTAGTAATGATTTTTGAGAAATTCAATGCTATGTTCCTCTACTATCAAGTCTACATGTTTATTTCTTGTGTCAAGCATAGTCTAAAACACAAAATTACAGATCTGTAGTGGTTGACATGATGAAAAACAGCGGATAGAGTCATCTTAAGTTATTTGAAAAATGTGAAAAATTGGGTCATCATAGGTTACATGTCTTGATAATCGAGATAGATTGAAGATACAGTTGAAGTTATCGTGAACTACAATTATCTCATTGAAGGACAATTCTACCCATAGCTGCCAGTCTACCCCGATGTTCCGTAAGCACCGTTACCATCGCACTGATATAATGATTGAAAAAATCCCCACATAACAGAACGCAACTTTTCTGGATCCTACTAATCTGTCGGAATTCTAATGAAAAATTGGTCAAATCTTCTTTTAAGTTACAATCTGGTCGAATATGTTGCTGTGGGTCGAATCGTCCACCAATTACAATATGCAAGTGCGTTTAGGACACTAACTTCGACCTACATAATAAGAATGGTGTTGTGGTTTAGATGTAATGACATTATACCTGCTACCTCTATTGCAATAGCCTTTCTCGCATTTTTATTAGGAATATATTTTTTCCAATTAGAATTAGGTAATTCTCAAAGTTACGAGAGAATTTGCAGGTAATTGTTATTATTGTTCAGAAGAAGCTTTACTAAATAATGTTAATATCATCTATTGACATGACATAATCATCAAATCAATTTTGATTAACCATCATTAGGCTTATATTGTCGTGTTATATAATACAATGCCAAAATAGGCATTCGTAAAACCCAAAGAGGCTGTCATATTGTAGTTTGGATTTCCCCTGCTTTGTAGTGCAAGTTCAAAATGATTGTCCCAAAAAAGCACTGCAGATAGGCCTAAGCTTCTGCCTACCTACTGGTAACTTTAATTGTAGGTTTCAACAAGGGGTTGAAAGGCTATTAGCTAGTAAAGCAGTAAAAGTTTGTAAGATTCCTCAACATTAGCAGTCACCCCAAATTCCCCCCTTGCTTGCTTTAAAAGTGTGGGTTTCTTTTATTTTGATTTCACAAGCTGAATGCCTAAAAATGACATACTAAATATTTAAGTTTATGTTGCAATTGGGAAAATACATATGTGACAGATGGCTGAAATGATTTTTTGATTACTACTGCAGTTGAACTGTTTTAATTTTGCAGAATTTTACTCAGGGTTTTGCAGCATTCTTGGGATAAGTCTTGGAGCCAAGTTTAGTCATGTTAGATTAAAGCTTTTTATTCAGAAAAAAAACCTAAAGAGCAGATCACTGCTGTGTTTTATAATCTTCTTGCTTGTTGGATAAATTCATGGTATTTTTCATTGTAATTGTTGATTTTAAAACATTAATGATAATTGATAAATCAATAGCAATTCCATTATCACTAGTCTGTTGGCTTATCATTTTATGGGTTAGCTAGAATATTTGATCCATTTACTGATAGGCTACCAGACCGAAAGTGTGTTTATGTGATTTTAGTTAGATCTCTATAAGTGCTAAAGGTATGATAATTATACAGTATTCAAAGTCATTGTATTATTTCTGTCACTAGATATTCAAGTAACAAATCTGTTGTGACATAAAGGCATAGTTGCTGAGTCATTCCATGCACCATTTATGTTATTGAATATACAGACCATTAGGCTTCTTATGTTAATTAAAAAAAAATTGTAATATAATATTATTTATAGTCTTAATAGAAATTTAAGATGATGTTTCAATTCTAGGAATTTCAGTTTTTGAAAAAACCTTGATGCATCAGTTTAAAGGGGGAGTTTGCCACATCTTCAAAAGATGTCTCAGACATCAACTTTCACGGTAGATTGTTGCATTTATTTAAGCTTATATAATTTATTATATATATTAAAGCCTTAAAGCCTGATATTCAATTGAATCATGGCCTTTAAGACAACATCCTTTATTTCTGTTTTTTTTTTTTCGTAAAAATAAGTCATGAAAAAAGTAATTCTAAACCCAAAATTGTATTCCATGTTTACAGAGTTTCTTGCAAATATATTTACAGAATGGCTAGTAACTATGAAGACAATGTGGCTGAATTTAAAGAACGGAAACATAAAGCCTTTGTTGTGGGATATACTGGTGAATCTGGAAAAGAATTAGTAAAACAGATTCAAGCTGCTGATATTTTCGAAAAAGTTGTTTTAATTGGTAGAAGAGAAGTTCCTCCTGAAAATATCAGTGGCGTGGATTATGTGAGTTCCAATCAGATTAGTATTTGTTTCCTTTCAGTTTATTCTGCCCTTTTTTTTCCTTGCCACTTAAGTGATTCAAACAACTTTAGGTTAAACTGTTTGAATGTGGAACATCAAATAAATCATTCAAGTCTTTGATAAATAGATATGGGGCAAAATAATAAATATATGTGACCAAACAGCTTTCTCTAAACTTAAATAGGTATTACCTTGTATATTTGGTGCAATATTAGGCACATGTTTTAAAAGTGAGTGATATCATTATTTATTACATTACGAATAATGGAAGGCTGTTAGGGAAAATATCTTTGATTTGTAAAATACTTTTTTATTTTGTTATTACAGGAACAAAAAGTAGTCGATTTTGATAACTTAGAACAACATGCTGAAGTTTTTAATGATTGCGATATTGGATTTTGTTGTCTAGGAACAACCAAAGCCAAGTCTGGAGCTGTAAGTGATGCTGATTTTACATTGAGAATAATCTCCCTTTGACCACAATCGTGTTAGGAAAACTAACCAATTGAAGGGACAGATGCACCATTTTTTTGACCAATAATAGTCTCAGAAACTGGAATTTTTTAGGTGAGCTAATCAGTAATAGTGTTCACAGCTCACTGTCCAGAATTATCTACGTTTGAATGTTAAAATGACAACTTGTCAATTAAAGATACTCTGTGATATATAGAAAAGACATATATAGAAATATTGAGTAAAATTCCTAGTTTGAAGTATTTTTAAAGGAATTATACAAGTTTCATACATTTCTAGTACTTCTGAAGACTATTTACATATATTCAAGACTAAAATTAACGCTCCAAAATGGCACATCTGCCCCTTTAAAGATCTAGATTTTATGAAATATTGTAATCTAATGGTAAATACAAGAGATTAATATTGTATAGGTGATTGACCAGTAAACAAAAATTGTCATCAGAACTGTTACTAGGGTATTATCTTCTATAAGAGGCAAGGGTTCTGGGTAGAATCAAACATTATCTAGCTTTTCTCGAGACATCATATCATTTTTATTTAAAAAGAATTGATTTAATTTTTTTTTATATTTTGTTGTAAAATTTGCCATGAAACATATGCATCATTTGCCTGTATGTGGTTATGGCCCTGGTCATGAGTTTCATACAACACAATTTTAAAATCATGTGACTGAAATCAATTTTGATGGTATTTTTCAAGCGCAATCTTTAATACTTTTCAGGCTGGTTTTTTAAAAGTTGACTATGATTATATATTATCAGTGGGACAAATTGCTAAAAGTAAAGGCTGTAAACATTTTAGTTTAGTTTCATCACAAGGAGCTGACAAAGAAAGTTCTATGTTTTATTTAAAAACAAAGGTAAGTTATTTGTTGCATTTTTTCACATTGCTTTGCCTCTAGATACTCTTTTTGATTATTGACTTTTGATATAAATCAATCATTGCAATCTATAATACTAAAAGAAAAACCAAATGTAGATTACTTCATCAGAAGGGGTTCCCATAAAAAATAGGCCCTCTGTTGGTTGTAATACATCCTGGGCAATAGAGATTAGGGTGGTAGGAAGGTTTCAAATCATTGAAAAGAAGGACTGGCACAGGGTTAAAGCCGTGTTCACTAACGATAAGGCTAATATGTTGAAATGGAAATTTTGTAGCATTTCTAACATACAGGTAGACTAAAAAGTACAAAATTTATCATTATCACATACGTAATAGTATAGCAATTTTAATTTTCTGCGATATCATAATGGATTAGTTGCTTTCTCAACTGAATAAGCCATGTTTCCAAATGTTTTATCAGATTGAAATGATATATAGAAGTGCAAAGCCTTACACAAAAAGATTATTGTCAATATAATTGCTTATAATCACCTGACCTGCTTATCATAAGAATGTCACGACAATACATTGAATTATATTTAGGGGCAAGTTGAAGAAGCCTTAAAGAATCACCAGTTTCAAAGATTATCTGTATATAGACCAGGGTAAGACCTTTCTTAATCTTATTATTTTCATATTGTCAGGAAACTATGGCAAATGCAATTTAGGGGTTATTAAAATAAGAGGTGAATGTTGATCTAAAAGTGTTAGTTAGTGAGAACAAATGTTGTGTTGTTCCAATAAATATACAATGTAATTACTATGAGAAAGGGACACTCAGTCAGTGGCACCAGGTGTTCCAGAGAGTTGTTAATTATAACACAGTTCTTATTTCATACTTATTTCAAATGAACACAAGGAGTTTGAGTACAGTTGCACATGCTTCTGAAGACTGACTCAAAAATCTTTACAAATATGTTAAGTTGCGGGCACACAAGCTGTCTTGATTGGAGACTTTCGTTGTCTTGAGTTTCAACGACTGGTACAGGAACACAAGAAAAAAATCTCCAGTCGGTCGTTTTCCACCTTGTCGATAATCAAGTGCGGCGCATGCAATTGAAAGGAAAAGGAATCTGATTGGATGATGACGATCTGTCTTGCAGATGATAAAACTATCAGAGACAAATATCAAACTGGTTTGATATTATAAATCCTGTCGGCGACATTATAATCCTGACATGAAACACGGGCACACACAAGATTTTACTCAAGATTCGAGTGGGAGACAAAAATCCGCTGGATGTAGGTTGATAATCCAATAAAGTGTACTTATTAGAATTGTCGCACAAAATTTCAATCATAATGTGTCATGGTCATTTACTTTCATGGACTTTCCATGTATGAACTTGGAACTTCATAAATTAAACTATCAATGTTTTCTATTTTAGAGTTCTGATGTGTAACAGACAAGAGAGTCGACCAGGTGAAGCTATAGCTAGACTTTTTCTAAAACCTGTAGCAGCCTTATTTCCTACTGCCATTACAACACCAGTAGAAACACTGGCCAAGGCCATGATCAATAATGTGATGATGAAATCGGAAAAAACTTATGAAATATATGAGAACAAAGCAATACATGAACTAGCTAAAGTAGGAAAAGACAAAGGAGGATGCAAATAGTTATAGTGTTAAAATCATATCAATATATCCTTGTTGATAAATCTTTCATTCTTCAAATTGCTGGGAATTTGTGTTTATTGATGTACCTATTGCATTTAAAATTCTGTGTACTTTGAAGTCAATTTGTTGTCATGTTTTGTTGTCAATATTATGAAAACATTCCGGTTTAATGCGCACACACATAAACAAAGAAGCAGAGGTATTTAGCACTTGCTAACTATATTCCATATTTGGTATGAAATGCAAAGTAAATGTAGTGTTAGTTGAATTTTTTCATTAACCAAAAAAAGTGCTATTTAACAACATTAATAATAGTTGCATTTTGAATATGAGATGAAATTTATTTCAGAATTAGAAAATATTGTGCTCAAAAAGGGATAAAATGCCAAGGTCATTACTTTTATGCGTGGAAACTGTATATTTAACACATTGTTTTATTTATATTAATTGATGAATAACATACTTGTATATTGTGTTTTTGCTTATTTATGTACATATGTTTTAAAACTGTAAATTTTTGAAAAAAAATATCCCCATTTTAAAATTATTATGTCAAAATGGGTTGTTTTTTGTTACTGGCATATTTTGCAAATTGACAATGCAATCCACCCTCTCCCCATACAGAATGTCTGTAACAATCCCAATAATTATGAAATGAAATAACTTGCAATAGCTACTTTACTCGTAGATGTAGAATAATATTTGGTGAAAGTAGTATGCCATCCAACAACTAACCCTCAGGTTTCTACCAACTATAAAGTGATATAGTCTGGTCAATATAGATCATTACCCCAAACAAATTTGAAAGAACTAACCGATGCCAAAAATATATCTGTTTTCATCAGGAAAGAGCCTCTCTAATTATTAGGAGGTCAAAATGTACATCAAACAGTCAAAAAAAGCTTCTGATAGAAGTACTATGATTAAATGTTCAGAGGCAATGTTTACATAGAAAATATTCAATTCTAGTCTCACTGTGGTCCCAAATCATTTAAAGGGTTGTTCAAAGATATTTGAGTTGATGAAAAGAGTGCTTGATTTGTGAAGTTGAACAACGGATCTCCAATCATTGCTGAGAGACTGGTAAATCGAGAAGGCAACACGGTCTACCGAGTGTATTATTTTTACCTTGTGAAAACGACGAAGTTATTTATCTGAGACTGTCAAAAAATAATAGCACGTGTCACATCCCTATCACCGGTATTTAGGTTGTAGTCTTCACTGGATAGATTTGTGAAATCGTTTTACTGTCTAGACGTCATAAACTGCGGTATGTAAAATTATATTTTGTAATGCTGTAGCCGACCTATTAGAATATGATAAGCCTAGCAGTTAGTAGCATTCGATCTCATTTCCAAACTTGACAATTTTGGCAAAATGATACGATTGTGTGAGATGGTCAGTTACTCTCTTTAATTATTTTAATTCAGCATACCATACCTATGTTGATCATAAACTGATGCATCATTGTTTGCAGTTTGAATCTATTTCTACTACTGGAGTACTGGAATCTAGGTCTAATTTATTATAAATATAATGCTAATGGTACCGGTATCATAGTCCGAAACATCTGTCTTAATTCTAGTTAGAAAAACGAGGCCCTATTTTATGGGGATTTTCAAAATCTAAGAAGATTTACATTTACTTTCTTTTTGTTACTATCACATGACTCAGTGACATTTGAACTTTTGGCTGCTCATGTTCTACGAAATTCTCTAGAAAAGAGGGCCTATTATTCTGTCTGTTCACCAGCTGACAATTTTCGAAATAGCTATCAGAGGCTGGAATAGGGGCAGATGTTTCTGGCTAATGATATCATAAAAGTGTATAAATTTGCCACTTTGTTATGCCTATCCTCTGCCTAAATCGAAATCTAGTTGGCCTAGTAGCCTACAACAAGCTCTATTGGGATTGTTGGCTACACACCCTGCGCAATGAGTGTGATTAGTGAGTTCAGTGTTAAATCCAGGCATATATGTCAAATTTTTCATTTAAGTTTCCTTCTGTCAGTGATGCATGTCGAATTGACTGACATTGAGAAAGCTCTTGTTTGGATGAGACAATAAACTAAGGTTGTCCTGTTCCTCAACAATTGAAATATATATATAGATATTGATGAGAAGTATATCCAATTTGCCCCATATTTGGTTAGGCCAATCCACTTCCTTATACTTTTACTATATTTATGTTGGTTTATGCTTTATGATTTGAATGACTTTGAATAAAAATTCAAATCCTTCTTAGTAACAACACGTTTCAGGTTCTTTTTAAATATTTCTATAACATCAAAGGATACAGTAATCTATTCAGCACATACAGACTTGTTAGAATGAATATACTCAACTCAATCAATTTTTGAAGCGAAACAGTTATATTTTTTTCAAATAATACTTTATTACCTTGAAGGTCATTAAACTTATAAATTTGTGTTTGGTTATCAATTTCTACTCAAGCAAAGTAATAAAATTTCATTAGCCATTGAATGTATTGGCTGTTGTACAGTGTTATCAGTAAACCTGCAATTTATGGTCTTTAAAGGGACGGATGGGCCTGATCAATCATACTTTAGTCTCAGAAACTGGAATTTTTTAGCTGAGCCAATCAGTAATACCGTCGAAATTTGAGCCTTCAAACCCATGTGTGTCGGTTTGAATGTGAAAATGATGATTCGTTACTTTTTTTCAAAACTGGCCAATCATCACTCTTGCAACAGTTATATATTTGATAATTTTTTACTGGCTTTGAAAAAGATTATGAATGAAAACATTGCAAAATTGAATAAAAACATTTTGTGGCACTGTATACAATGCTATTTGAAATAAAAATCTGAAGAATGTATTTATAATTCATCAATTGATTAATTTCAGAAATATTCACTGCCATCATGGATATTGAATCTTTGAAGAAGAAATTAAACTCTCATGGACAAGAAGAACTTCTTAAATTTTGGGACACTTTAGGTGAAAAGGAACAAAAATCATTGTACGAACAAATAAGCTCAATAGACATCGCACATGTGGTAGAATCTTTTAAAACTGTGACAATTGAAGATAAGAATCATAATAAAATTGATGATCAAATGAAACCTGTATCTCCTGATGTCTTTGGCAGTTTTGAAAAATCTGATGCCAAAACTAGAAGAAAATATGAAGAAAGAGGTAAGATACTGGTTTTCTATGTATATTTAGAATTTTTACCAAGACTATTTTGAAAATGGAAATGTTAATACTTATATGAATAGAAAGTAGAGGTGTTCTAATGACTTCGAAAAATATCAGTTTTTTTAATTTATAATTATCTAAATTGGAAGAGAATTACCAGCAGAATTCCAATGAGTGACCGATCAAGAAAGGTCAAAGTCTTTTTTTGCTTACCCATTGACATTTATAATTGGTCAAAACTCTTAATTATATATGCAATAACAACATAATGATATGATTAAGAATAGGTACACAAACTCAATAGAAACACCTATTAATCAAATAGTATGCTTAATTTGACATTAAAAAATAAGGAAATCCATCTTTAAGTTCAATCATTTTGCATGTTGTTATTAGCTTTACTTTCATATCAGTATGTATTCTTTTAAATTGTATCAAAAGCTGGTGTTTAGGCATTTGTAAAATTAAAAAGCAGTACTTGGTAAGATTGTATAAACTCAAGGTATATTACATGTTTTGTGAAGTGGTGAAGTTTTGTTTTTTAAAAGGAAATTCATGATATAGAAATATATGTTAGCTTATATTCAGTCACAAATAAATGACTTTCCTTGTTGGGAGTGTAAGATTGTATTGTTTTCATGCTTGGTTGGTTATGGATACTATTACTGGTACGGTACACTAAAAGAAAATCATTGCTCATATATCCCAAATTTAGTAAATAGATTCTGTTAAAGTAAACTTTAATCCTACAATGATTTGATTTCTTTCTTCAACTTGGTCAATGTGTTCTTTCAAAAAAGTTTTGAATAAAAGTAATAAAGACTATTTCATTAAGTTAAATCAAGTGCAATAGGCCTACTTATTGAAATAAATATTATATCATGTGGTTAATGAATCTGGATTATTTATTAAAAAAAAGCAATCTGCTTTCAAATGTTCAGTGTCGTAAATTTCCATATCTTTTAAATAGACATTTGATGATTTTCAAGTTTGGAAAGTATGGAAAACTAATTCATTTATGAATTGCGGTGTAAGATAGGATAGGGCTACACCAATGTTTTGTGGGTGAAAATAACTATAATTTAAATTGATTTTAAATTTTTTTCTCTTGTATGTACAGATTTATCCATTTTGTGTAAAATGTAACAAAAAAAAATTTCCATTGTTATATGAACATTATTTGTGGTAATAGAAAATTTCATTCATATTCAAACATTAATTGACTATGAGTGAAATATGATTTTTTGCAGGGTTGACGGAAATCGGTAACAACAAAGTTGGGGTTCTACTGCTAGCTGGGGGACAGGGGACAAGATTAGGTGTGAACTACCCTAAGGGCATGGTCAGTGTTGGTTTACCCTCTGGTAAAACTCTTTTTCAATTACAAGCAGAGCGTCTTTTAAAGTTACAACAACTAGCTGAAGAGTTTTCTGGTCACAAAAATGTGATACCTTGGTGAGTAAACATGAGAGATCATGTTATGTCAACTTTGTCACCTCCGTTCAAATGGAAAATAACCTTTGCCATGTTTAAAGGACTGATATAATCAGATTTTGCTGGTGTTTTCTGAGCTATTTTGTTGAAAAAAAATTGCTAAATAGTACAACTTTACTCTCGTCTACTTTCTTATCAATATATATAAGTATAGTTACATGTAATTTCTATATATATATCTTCAATTGATGTATTGAGCACAATTACAACAGTGAAAATATTTTATGATTGTAATTACATGTATTATGTTACATTTTCCCTAGGGGTTATTATGTAATATATATGTACTGTATTGTTCCTGATTGTTGGATTTATTAACATGTTATATTGAAATTTGTACTTCATGCCTAATTGATTAACTTGTCCACTTAATGAAATAAATCAAAATCATATTACATTTAGCAAGTAACATACAAAGTGATGTGGATGGTCAAAATTAAACTCAATTTACAAATGTACAGAACTATATCTCTTTAAAGTATCCAATCAAACTTGATAAAACCTGCTTGGCATTCAAACTGGTCTAAATTAGCAAGAATAGAAAATAAATGAGATAAATAATACCACTAGTGCTCTAGGTTGTGCTTTTTGGGAGGATTTTATTCTCATCTTAACGTCAATGAAAAATATACGGCCAAAAATAAACATAATTTGACACATTTTAAACATACTAGCATTTTTAGTTTAAGATGACTACCTTTCCATCCTGTCAAAATCTGGTGACTGACTGCAGACTTTGCTTGGAGTTGGATGGTGTTTTTTTGTTTCTTGATGAGTTCTCTATTGATAATTATAGGTATATAATGACAAGTGAACATACAAAAGAACCCACAGAAGCATATTTTGAAAAAAACAAATATTTTGGTCTTGAGAAAGAGCATATAACAATATTTGAGCAGAGTAGATTACCATGTGTTAGCAATGAAGGAGAGATCATTCTTGAAACACCAAGCAAAATTGCAATGGCACCAGGTAAGTAGCCTTTGCAGCTGATAAAAAAAGATATACCTAAGGAATATCTATTATTTCACTTTATTTTGAACAGGATCAAATACCACAGATTATAATTTGAGTGTAAACGTTGTAACTTTTTGTAACTATTTGATAACACCGAAAATAATTTTTTTCTTCACTTAAAACATGCAAGTTTAGTCATAATAATATTTGAGAAACAGCCCCCCTCCCCTTCAAAACTTTCACTTTGAAAATAACTTCATATTTATCAAAAAAGCTACATGAAATCGTAACAGTTGTACTTAAATGTACACATGACAATCAGCAAGACAGAAATTTGTCAAATTAATTGATATCTTGGATATAATCAAGATAAGTCTAAATTCTTGAAATCATAAAAGGAAGTATCATATGCAGATATGATAAAGAGTACATCCTTAACTGAATTTAAAAAATGTGATAAGCATAAAAGAAGTGACCTTAAAGTTATCTTTATCAAAATATTGTTTTTAAGTCTATTTGTACAATACAAAAATGCAATGCACCACTATATTTTTTTCTTATATTATGAATTATTAAACTTCAGAGAAATATCGGGTGAAAGCAAAGTAAACATTAACAGTAATTTTTGTGATTTGTTTCATTTTGTGTAAAAAATGATTATTGTTGTCACACATATTCCTCCAAATTCAGTAGCCATTTTTCCTTTGAATGAATTTAGATTCATTAGATTATAATATTAGTAAAGTCCCATTTTGTACCATAGTTAAATTCCATCCGGTGCAGATGGTGGAGATTTTTTAGGTTTTTACAAACCTTACATTTTTACCAATTTGTATCCATACTTAATTTTATTTTTGATTCTTTCAGATGGTAATGGCGGACTTTATAGGGCAGTAAACAAACACAAAGTATTAGATGATATGTCAAAACGTGGTGTTCAATATGTCCATGTCTACTGTGTAGATAATATTCTAGTTAAAATGGCAGATCCTATTTTCCTAGGTTTTTGTATTGGTAAAGATGCTCGATGTGGAGCTAAGGTATGTCAAACTATTATTTTAGTACCTTTTGCTTATGCTGAATATTTGAACTAGTATATAGGAGTTGATAACGGGATCATTTCAAACAAATTTTATGAAGAAAAATGGGTTTGTTTGAAATCTTATTTGTGTCTAATTTTTTCTGAAAATCATCTGACCTCCATGTTTGTTGAAGTGTTTTCCTTATTTGTACATCAAAAGCTTTAAGTATTTTGTATCAAGTCATGCTATTTTACAAATCAATTTCATTCATATTTTTGGACAGAGAATCATTGTTACAGGTCAAAATAGCCTACATCATTTCATGTGTTGATGTTCATTTCTAATAGATAATGGTTTAAGCATGTCTTCTATTTTATCTGTACAGACAAGTAAATTCATATGATATTGTTTTAGGAAAATCTTTGAGGGTGAAGTTGGTTTATAGTTTCAAAATGTTCAAGTAAACAGTGATTTGTTTAAACAAGTGAATTATAAATCAATGATTAAACATTGTGTTTTACGTCATCTGTAAAATTATATGTCAGATCAAATAAGATGTTATCTTGGTCATAGCTATGTGTCAAACTTACTTCTATTTATTTATATCCAATTTACGAGTTTAATCATGTCAAATTTTAAATGTACTCATGGGTGCTCAATAGATATAAACATGTTCATGCAATGGAATACATTATACATACAATACTATCTGACAACATGACCTCTACTCTGATACTCCTGACACGTAATCTTTTTGCTGATTTTGATTGGTTGAGGATGATGATTTAAATCCTACTTACATTACCAAAATTTGTTGTTCTTAGAACAGTTCCAAGAATGGGACACTATCCGTTTTGAGAATAGTTTCTCAAGCGTGGGTCTTGACACCCTGACCTTTCCTGTCAGTTTTCTGCTGTAGAAATTGTTTTTTTTTTCTTTTTCAGCTGAGCTACATAAGTCTATAATTTTAGAGTTCCATTTACACCCATTATTATTTAGTTCAGGAACGTTCATAATATTTTGTGATTTTACTGCGTTCTAGTTTTGATGTGGAACTATAATTAGTCCATGAACACTCTATTTGTCTATGATCACTTTTGCTAATACGTAGAACTATATTTTGTTTGATCACCTTTGTTATAGAACTATATTTTAGTCTATGATCAATTTTGTAGACAAACTATATCCAAGAAATCATTTGGTTTTATTTATAGTCTGTAGTAAAAGAATTCCCCACAGAGCCAGTAGGTATTATATGTAATGTTAATGGTGTTTACCAAGTTGCAGAATATAGTGAAATCAGTACAGAAACTGCTGAAAAGAAAACCGAAGATGGAAAATTAGCATTTAATGCCGGCAATATTTGTAACCATTTCTTTACACTTGATTTTCTTAAGGAAGTTGCTAGGTAAGATTATTCTCAATCTCAAGTTCATTTCGAAAGAATACTTCAAAGGGTTAAAACAGATAGTAATGGTGGTAAAAGAAATTAATGGATTTAATAAAGAGCTTGGCCGACTAGAGAAGATAATTCAGAAATGAAATGAATGGAGGTTTACATCCTACTTTTCTGCACCATGTGGGATAATGAAGACGTGCAACTCCATGCAGGGTGCAATGAGGGAAATTTTGCCAGGCCAGTGGCATTAGCCTGTTCTTTTTCCAACTGTCGCGGGATCTTTAATGCGCACAGCCTGTAGCACACAGGGCCTCGGTTTATTGTCCCATCTGAAAGACTAGATGCTTTTGCCATGTCAGCCCCTCTTGCGTGCATCACTGTCAGATGGAAACCATTTTGAAAAATGAGAGGGTATTATCTCCACCTATGCTGAAATTGAACCCTAAGATAATTCAGAGTGCAAGTATGGGTCATTAGCATAGTTGTTTAGAAATAGACAAAATCTTATGCACATTGTTAAAATTAAATAATGGCTAGAGAAAATTTTAAAGGGACAAAATATGGGAAAATATTAAATTTTATATTTGGAAATTTTTGCAGAACAATGAAATGATTATATTTTATTTTTCAGTCAAGACCAAGAAAAGAAATTAAAATATCATATAGCAAAAAAGAAAATTCCATATGTAAATGAAGAGGGCAAATCATGTAAACCAGAAAAACCAAATGGGATCAAAATGGAGAAATTTGTGTTTGATGTATTCCAGTTCTGCACGTAAGTGTTTTGAACCTTAATGTATTGTTGAGTTAAAAAGGCAGAAGTTGTTAAATTTACATTTTGAAAAATTATGTAGTTAGCAGCCTAACCCTCTACTATTTTTTCAGAGACAAAGACTTCGCCGTGTGGGAGGTTTTGAGAGAAGAAGAATTCTCACCATTAAAGAATGCCAACACTGCAGAAAAAGATAATGCTACTACTTGTTGTCGTGCAATTTATGACTTACATATAAAATATATAGAAAGAGCTGGAGGAAATGTTGTGAAGAATAACCCTAAAAAATCTCCAAGTCATCACAGGTATTAGAGAATCTACCATTTATATGTTGAAAATTATTTTAAAGACAAATGCTTGTGTAAAGCAAAAATTCTCTTGAATCTGAAGATCAAAACATATTAAGAGATTTGATTTAAAAAATAGGTACAAGAACAAGTGCTAAGGTGATGGATGACATTTAATTTTTGTTCAAATTTTTCAGTGAAAATGATGATTTGATTGTTTGTGAGATTTCACCACTCGTGTCTTACGCTGGTGAGGTAAGAAATATTACTTATTACATGTGATAAGAACAGACATAAGTCTACTTCTTCAAACTTTTGTGATTGTAGTCATCACATTAAGTTCTTCAGTAAGCTATACATAAGTTACCAGTTTTAGCAAAATTACATACTACATTGCAATTTTTTCTTCATTTCAATCTGATAGAAATTCATTTGTATTCATGATCTACTTTATCTCTTGCATATAAGCTATGAACTTTTGTTGATACACCCACATTACAGTGAAACATTTTACAAGGGTTTACTGATCCAAATTTATTTCATACCGGTACTCAAAATAATGTGGATACCTTTCACAATTAAATTAATCCATTATAAAAACTATAGATTTGATGGATGAATTCAATTTTAATGGTTTCCTCTGGCTTTTATATGCTCACATGAATATTATCCATAATTGCTCATAAACACTGTAGAAGGTTCAATTTGTAATGGATTTTGATGAAACTTGTTGTAAGTGTTTATTATTATCCAAGGATGAACCCCATTGAAAATCAGAAAAATCGAAAAATATTTAATGTGAATTATTATTTTTGAAAACGCCTTTAACTTCAAAGCTGCCAGTGGGAGTATAATTGATATTCAAATTTTTTTTCAAAGGCAGTTTAGGTATCAGGGTTCGCACAGCCTTGAAAAACACTTGAATTCCGTCCGTTGCCTTGAAAAACCTTGATTTCAAAAAAAGTCTTTGAAAACACCATAAAAAACCCATTTTCTCTTGAAAAGTCCTTGAATTCTGAGTTGAGTCAAATTGTGTATATTTTTATCATTAACCCCATTGACAAATATTTACTATTATTATTGATTTCACAGTTCAGAAGTAAGGTACATGTGTATTCTGTCAGGCTAATATCCTTGAAAAGTCCTTGAATTTCAAAGCCCAGAGTCCTTGAAAAGTCTTTGAATTTTTGAGGCAAAGTGCTGTATGAACCCTGGGTATTGACTCTGGTAAAATATGACAAAATTAATTATTGACATAATTAGGCTGGAACTGAAAGTGATTATTGGTTTGCTTTTATATATTGATGACTTTAAATGGTTTAGTAATGCCTTTCCAGCCTGTCGCAATTGCTTGTCTTAAATTGATTCAATTTTTTTTTTCAGGGCCTAGAAAATCTAGTAAAGGAAAAGACCTTTGTATCTCCAGTAACTGTCTTTAAAACATCTGATGGTACAGCTACAGTTAAAGACAGCTCTGCGTAACTTACTCTTTAGCCTCATTGAAGAAACTTCTTTTTATTTCTTTGAATTTTGCACTGTGATGATAACATTCTGCTTATAAATATTAATCTAGCCAACCATTTACATGGCTGGAAATATTAAACATTAAGACACATTTTGATATAATCTCAATCGGGAACAATTTTGCTGTCTTGTAATGTAAATGGTTTACCTTATATAATTGTAACATATATATTTATTTATTATTTTAACTTAACACAAACAGTATTTGAAAGTGGTTTACTAATTATTCAACATTTGTGAATTTAAGAATTTATTTTTATTATTGAAATCCCTATTACAAACTTAACGGAAAAAAGTGAATTAAGCATTGGATTAAGGAATACTACCTCTTAGAATGGACATAAAATTGCAAGTCTCAAAACTTGGTCAATAAAAGTATATATTTATCAGTTAGACCTACCAGGTGCAATGACTTAAAAAAAAAAGAATCTCTATACAAGAGAGTATATCCATTAAACTGAGTAATTATTGAAAAATCATTTAGTGTAATGGAATATTACTTAGTTTTATGGATTTATTGACAACAGGCGAGTCCAGTGATGAACAAAGACTCATTTTAACCAAGTTTGAAAATATCCATTTTTTGGTTATCCTAAGAAATAGTATACCGTTAACCTATAAATATTTAAAAATTTTCAAAGTGAAGTTATTTGCCTAGAACAGTAACAATTATTTAAAGTCCATCATACTTAACAATTACCTATAAAGACATTCCAAGGCTTTGATATATAATTTTGATTCAGGTT